CTCTTGATTTAATATACTGAAGCTACCTTTCCCTTCGAATCAAACCTAATTACTTCCCATTTACCAGGTACTATATGATCACTACGGGTTTAGCGCTTCCTCGTGGAAATCTTACTTTTCTGATCAGTTTCAAACTTTTAACTTGAGTGTACCCCTATAAGAAGACTGGGATAGTTACCGGAGTATATGTGCCAGTTTCATATTTAAAACTGTGTATTATTTTCTGTGAATTAAGTTAAAAAGTATGCCTCTTCTGAAGAGATTCAATCTTTAATGGCCGAAACATCTTATGAACTGATTAAGTTTAGGCTGAGATGATACTAACATAGTTTATAAACTAGGAATCGTTGGATTCTGAGCAACAACTGGAGAATACCTCACGTGATAGGCTACCAACTTTCATCGAGAAATATTCTGGTTAATCTGAGCTGGGTAGGTTCCAACCTGCCATTTTATTTAAGAAACTGGGAAAGACTGAAATGCTGGTTTTCATGCGATAATATTTAACTCCTTGTAATCGGCTTCAAAGCTTCGGTCAACCCCGATAACCCGAGAAAGCAAACCAACTTCTAGCGGCTTCAAACTTAAGAGTGCTGGTGTATGTTGGGATACACCCAGTGAAAAACTTTGGTGCCATCGGCACAACGCTGTCATCGTTAACCCAGAACTGTTCAACTTGCTACCAAAAGATATACGAGACAAAGTGGTAAAAAGTTAAGAATTTTCATGAGGAAAATGGATCACTGCATCCACTAAGTGTTAGACCAGACTGTGATATGCGGGCCGCCAATGGCAACAGCCTGGTTGACCTGGCGATTAACACTAAACTCTGGCTCCAGGCTGGGCTGCGAGGGTAGAAAATTCGTGAAACCGGTCACAGGTATGTCTGCGATAACTAGGGAATTCTTCCTCTGATTAAACTTTTAAAGATGGTGGAAGGTTTGAAGTGGTTTTGGACTCGACAGGTTTCGAAGCGATAACTTATGAATATCTTTCCAACTGGCTTCAAATCTTCAACGTTGATATTTAGCAGCATCAGAACTTATACGGCACTATTCATTTAGCATGTATTTAGGTAAACGGTGCTGCTTATGGAACGGAGATACTTTTCTCGGCATTATTACATTCATGGGGAAGCACTAATAATATAATCAAACTAAGCGCTAAACCTGTAATTATCACACGACGCTAGGGAAAGCAATAAACCTGTAGAATACAATGCCCAGGCCAAGGAATGAGAGGCAGTCAGGTTCAGTCCAAGGGGTGTAACTCAAATCTCACACCAACAGCTCTCTTCCTCGGCACAATGGTACCCCATTTAAGGGGGGATAAAAAGCGCTAATGTTCACTTTTGTTATTTAATCAGGAAGAAAGCACTAAACCCGCAAGGGTCGTATAATTCCTGGGGTATGGAAAGTATTCATGCTCTATTCAACTACTGGGAGGATAAATTCAGTTCCTTGAGTCAAGAGCCCCCTCACTGGCAACTTGGCACCTCGAGAAGCACAAACATAATCTTTCTGATTGAACATTAAAATGGTATAAAATACCGACAGATTGTTAGGTAAGACAAAGATACCTAACGAAATAAAGATACTTAACTGTTGCATATGTGTCTTACCTAACACATAATCTTTCTACTTTATCTTTCCTCTGTTCGACTTCCCTTGTTTAATGTCATATCAGTACGGCACTGCAGAATGGACGCATTAAGAAAAACATCGTTTTTCACACGTTATAATAATTATTTCCGCAGATGGAAACCGCTACAACAATTATACACAGTTATTATAGGATAGTTTAGCTGTTATTAATCCATATTTACGTATAGTTTACCACCAATAATTAAAACATTAAAGGACAGCACGGGACACATCCTAGCAGCTTAAAGAGCATTGGTAACCGAACGAGATTAAAAGCCACCAGGAAAAATAAATTTATATTCTAAAATCTAAAGGAATAGAATGTGAGGAGATTTTAAAATTTTGTAAAAGTACAATTAAGTGTTTATTGAAGGATACCAAGAATACTTTAAAATCAACACCAAGCATGATTAAACATTAAAAGTTTAAAGTTTATCATATTTATGGGGAAGCGCTAGCCTGCAGAGGTTACAATGTATAGTTCCTGGGGAATGGGAGGCAATAAGATTCGTTGCAAGTAAGCGTTAATTCAAGTTCTTTGGATCAAGAGCCCCTCATCGTCAAGGTGCACCCTTTTAAGTGTCTCAAAAGTTCAGTTTTAGAAAAAAAATATGGAAATACTGATTCGGAACGGGCTACATATATGGGTTGGTTGGTTAATTAGGGTTGAAGCCAATCGACTATAGGAGGGTTATAAAGGTTTTCATGTAACCTCAACACCTTAGGCCAAGGACATTAATACCTAAACCAGAGAAATAAGATTTTATTGGATTTATTAACCATTATGTTATCTGATCCTCTTCCCCAGGATGCGGCACAAAGTCGGTTGACACCCAGGTACATGCTTGCTGCTAGGTGAACAGAGAAAGCAGGTTTACTAGCAGCCTGTCCTAGGGTCAGGCGCCTGTTGATTGCCTGGTTGACCAAGCTGGTTGTGTGTACCCCGCCAGTTCACGCATCCATCACAGCCTAGTTGATCAGGCATACTGTGGAGCTGGCTATCCAGTTTTCTCCTTAGAACTTCTACATAATATTCTACTGCAATATTCCTGATACCTACTGATAGTAGGTTGAATGAATAGTCTATGCCTAAGGATGTTGATACAATATCCTCGTAGTGTAAAAAAAAAAAAAAAAAAAAAAAATTCAAGTGTCTTTAACATCATACCATTTACAGCCCTTTCATACTACGCCCATAACGGTATAAGGAAACATATTTAGTTTAAATTCATGTATAGATCGAACACGTGTCTTTCAGTTGTGAGCCGAAAGTGCTAAAACTTTAACCATATATACAGGTAATAGATGCACACCCTCTCTACGTGAGGGGGAAACAAAAGTCTTAAAGTAGCATCGTGACGTTTAAAATACAGTTCTGACAAAAGTGTGATAAAATTTAGGCATAAAAATGGTTCCTCGCATGGGGAAATAAGGCTCCCGTGACTCCCCTTACTTCTTAAAGAGGGAGTAACAGGAGTGGAAGAGGGGAGAGATAGGTGTAGAAAAGGGCGTGTGGCAGAGGGGTAGGTAAAGTAGGGGGCAGGGGTGAGAGAAGCAGGGGAGGGGTAGACTGTGACAGGTGATGCAGGGTGATTGAGGGTATTCCGGGGATCAACGTTCCCGCGGCCTGATCAACTAAGCTGTCACTGCTGGCCGCACGTAGTCCAACGTACGAACCACAGCCCGGCTGTGGTTCTTGAAGGCAGCCAAGGGACTGCTGGTAATTTCCCTTATGCCTAGTTGGAGGTTGTTGAAGTCTTGGGCCCCGGACACTTATTGCGTTTTCTCTTGTGTACTAACGGCGCCCCTACTTTTCCCTGGGTTTATGTTGCACCGCCTGCCAAGTCTTTTGGTTTCACGGGGAGTGATTTCTGTGTGCAGATTATGGATCAACCCTCTAGGATTTTCCAAGAGTAAATTATGATATCTCTCGCCAGAGCCTGGAGGGTGTAGGTTGTGACAGGTGATGCAGGGGAGGGGCAGGCTGTGACGGGTGATGCAAGGGAGGGGCAGGCTGTGACAGGCGATAAAGGGGAGGGATACGCTGTGACAGGTGATAAAGGGGAGGGATAGGCTGTGACAGATGATAAAGGGGAGGGATAGGCTGTGACAGATGATAAAGGGGAGGGATAGGCTGTGACAGATGAGGGGTAAGCTGTGACAGGTGATACAGTGGAGGGATAGGTTGTGACAGGTGATGCGGGGGACGGCCAGGCAATGCAGGGAAGCTGGGGGGTGACATGATACAAGGGGTAGAGGTGACAGGTGATGCAGGGGGTAGGGAGTGAAAGGTGATGGAAGAGGTAGGGTGAAAGGTAATACAAGGGGTAGGAGATGTTCCTGGGGTCAACGCCCCCGCGGTCCGGTCCATGACCAAGTCTCACGGTGGATCAGGGCCTGACCAACCAAGCTGTTACTGTATAAATGTTGGTAGAATTGCCGACAATATGTCAAGTAAAAGGACACAAGTGCAACTATGTCACATTTTATTGTGGCAACGTTTCGCTCTCCGGGAGCAACGGCTTGACAAAGCTCCTGGAGAGCGAAACGTTGCCACAATAAAATGTCACATTAGTTGCACTTGTGTCCTTTTACTTTACAAGCTGTTAATGCCTGCCGCACGCACTCCAACGTAAGAACCACAGCCCAGCTGGTCAGGTACCGACTTAGGTATCTATCCGGTTCCCTTTCGAAGGCAGCAAGGGGTTTATTGGCAATCCCCTTTATGTATGCCGGAAAGCAGTTGAATAGTCTTGGGTCCCTGACACTTAGTGATTTTCTTAAGTGTACTCACGACACCAGCAGGGAGGATATAAACGTATATCAGTTGAGGCAGGGGAATGATGACAGGTGATGCTGGTGATGACAGGTGATGCAGGGGGGTAACGACAGATGCAGGGGGTAACGACAGATGCAGGGGGGATAACGACAGGTGATGCAGGGGGGTAACGACAGGTAATGCAGGGGGGTAACGACAGGTGATGTAGGAGGGGGCGACAGATGATGCAGGAGGGGGGCGACAGATGATGCAGGAGGGGGGCAACAGATGATGCAGGAGGGGGGCGACAGATGATTCAGGAGGGGGGCGACAGATGATTCAGGAGGGGCAACAAGTGATGCTGGAGTGACAGGTGATGCAGGTAACAGGTAATGCAGGGGGAGCGACAGGTGAGGAAGGTTACAGAAGGCTAGCTAGACACACCAAGTAACAGGCGCCAACAAAGCCACGTTTAACCTACCGAGGTAAACAAACCCACCTGCGAGGCACTACCCCCCCACCCCTCGCCCTCACTGCTTCACCAGCACCTCTACTTCACATAACTGCCAGTAGTTGGCCTCCCCAGCCTGGTAACTCACCTCCTGGGGTAGTGGAGAAGAGTGTGCCTCCAGGCGTGGTACTATAATCGTGGGGTAATTCCGCCGGTGAGTTAATGGTGATTCTCCTTGGGATGGTCTGTGGTTGGGCTTGAGCCACAGCCTGGCGAGCTACTGGAGACGCAGACATTATTGATCTTTACGCACACACGCCACTAGAGGAGAGTGTAAGACTAGAGGGGCAGCAGCGAAAGGCGCAACAACACGGCGATGTGGGTATATAACACACTAAAAGGTGCAGCTGGGTCCTAGGGAGGGTGAAGCTCGTGGCAGCAGCAGCAGCAGCACACCACAACGTGAGGCAGTGCGTGCGCACAGTGTTGGAACCTGCCTCAGTGCGCACCTCCCTCCCTGCCCCTCCTCGTGTAACCCTGCCCCTTCCCTGGCAACCCTGCCCCTCCTCTTGCTACCCTGCCCCTCCTCCAGCTACCCTTGCTCTCCTCTTGCTACCATGTCTCCTCTTGCTACCATGCCCCTCCTCTAGCTACTATGCTACTCTTCCCTTCCTAATGCCACTCTTCCCCTGCCCTAATACCCCCTGCTCCTGCTGCCCTAATACCCCCTACTCCTGCTGCCCTAATACCCCCTGCTCCTGCTGCCCTAATACCCCCTGCTCCTGCTGCCCTAATACCCCCTGCTCCTGCTGCCCTAATACCCCCTGCTCCTGCTGCCTTAATACCCCCTGCTCCTGCTGCCCTAATACCCCTGCTGCCCTAATACCCCTGCTCCTGCTGCCCTAATACCCCTGCTGCCCTAATCCCCCCTGCTCCTGCTGCCCTAATACCCCCTGCTCCTGCTGCCCTAATACCCCTGCTCCTGCTGCCCTAATACCCTCTGCTCCTGCTGCCCTAATACCCCCTGCTCCTGCTGCCCTAATACCCCTGCTGCCCCAATACCCCCTGCTGCTGCCCTAATACCCCCTGCTCCTGCTGCCCTAATACCCCTAATGTTGTCCTTCCCCTCCCCTAGTGCCCGACTTCTCTTTCTCCCCCACTCCTGCCTTGCTACTCTTTCCTCATTCCCCCTCTGCTCCAATTCTTTCATTCCCTCCCTTCGTACCACAAGCCTCACCCTCATTTCCCACCACGTCATGCCATCCGCTCTGTGATGTTCCTACCCCACCACCATGACATCTGCAATACATAACTACGGGTATTTAACTGTAAGAAATATACATTTTACTAATGTATTCCCTTGAGAAATAAAGACTGAGTCACTGACTTGTTTGGGTTATCATGGGTATTTATGTGTACCTGTATCTGAATTCTACTGTATCTTACAGCTAGGCTTTTAATAATAAGATATCACAACGATACCAATGGTAATAAGTCACTTTGATTTATGATAATTGTATTTATGTGCACTTGTATTAAATAAACTTACCATTATTATTAAGTCCCCGCCTCCCCATGCTCCTCCAGGTATACCCATTTTTCCTACACCTCTCCCATTCCCATCCCTCCTAACACACCTTCCCCATAGTTGTACCTCCTACCCAACCATCACCATGCCCATCCTTACCCCATCTGACATCTTGATGCCCGCTCTGCTACCCCAATTCATGCCAGTCCTGCTGCTGTGCCATCCTTTGCCCTCCCATCCTCACAACCCCCATTTCTAGCCCTCCTATTCCACAAACCCCATGCCAATCCCTACCCTTCCACCCCATGAATGCCCTTCCTGCCTCACAAGTCCCCTAACTTTCCTCTTCTACTTCACCTCGCCCCACTGTTCCCTTTCTCCTCTTTTCCTTCCCTTTTAAATAATAAAAAGGCACAATAATACCGTGACTGAAACAAAACACGAATAATCCGCAAATATGAGAAACTCATGACGACGTTTCGGTCCGACTTTGACCATTAACTAGTAACACTGACTAGTTAATGGTCCAAGTTGGACCGAAACGTAGTCATAGGTTTCTTTCTCATATGTGCGGGTTACTTGTGCATCCCTTCCCTTTTGCTATACCCCCACCATCATTCTATCCTTCACCCACTCTTGCCTGGCAAAACTCAACCCATTAGCCTTCTTCCTCTAGTGGGGCAGGGCACGTGGAATGTTGCATGACCAGGCAACTTACTAGCATGATGAACATGCTGTATCCTAATGCGCATTAGCTTCCAACACCCTGTTTTTCTCCCACAGGAGTCCCTCTGACGTAGCTACTGGAGTATAACCACACGAGCACATATTTTTCATTCTAATTTTACGGTTTACAAAAAGTTTTCGATAAGTTTGGGTACCTATCCCACGTGAAGGGGTTGCGTGCGAAGTTGTATGACCTAGTTTTCACTGAGTGCGCACTTGTATGTACATGCGGCTTGACTGATCCAGCAACCACTTTCATTGACTACTTTCATTTTCTAATACATAGCCTATACTGATTTATTAGCAAAGCTTAATTTTATGAAAGTTATTCAACGTATGGCATCAGGTGTGACCTAGATGACAAGATAATTTAGTTTTCATCGATTACTATGCATATTATTTAAAGTTATGATTTAAGCTGTATTAAATGATTCATGTTTATATTAAGGACAGCTGGTTTGTGTATTACTAGAGCTTGTACTACATCCGCTCTAGTTTTGGATTGCTGGGAATCAAGAAGTTTCCTTCCAGGTTAAGTTACATAGATTATCATACATAGCAGCATATGTAGGATAACCCAAAAGAGTCAAAGTGATTTATTTCCATTGGAGTCCACGGTTCAGAACGTGTAGTACATTGTAAAAGAATACCTTGATGTGGGTCCCAACTAGTTGTGCTTCACCATTTCAAAAGTACTGGTTTTGAGATCCCCGCATAACCATCACTTAAAAACATGTTTATCTACAACTCTATTGTTGAATCTTTATTTTTTCCTGTCCTTGTACAAGTCCTTTTCTTAAATCTTTGTTTTTTCCTGTCCTTGTACAGGTCCTTTCTTAAATCTTTGTTTTTTCCTGTCCTTGTACAGTTCATTTCTTAAATTTATGCTTTGTTTATTTGTACAGCTTCTTTGTTAAATCTGTGCTTTTTCTTTGTACAACTCTGTTGTTAAATCTATGTTTTACCTCTACAACTTTTGTTAAATATCTTCGAAGTTACCTTCTAGATCGAACCTGCCTTAACACCTCACCTGTTCATTATATTCCTCCTTATTCCGTCTAGTTATGTACATTGAAGACTGACGAAGCGAAACGTGGCTTGAAAATGAAGTATTCAAAGTTGACATTGCAAAGTGTCCGCTTACCTGAGTTTCTCAATGAATGATAATGAATGTGTTTCATTTTCAGGTAGACACCATCACACACCTCGTCACCATCATAATATATAAAAAACGCTGTGGATGAACCATTCCATCATAACATTTAATATTTAAGTCCCATCAACAGCCTAGATAACACCTACTCGCGTACTTTACCGGCGTAGAAAAATGCCACACATAATTTCTCTATATAGGACATTGTCATAATTACAGTATACGAGCAGATGTTATCTAGGCTACTGATACGACCAAAGACTGCGATGCAATGACTCGTCCACGTTGCCTTTGAAAAATAATGATGGTGACGCATCAATTGAGGTTATGAGGTGTGGAGTGTGTGAGGTAGTGGAGACGTGGGCCACGGGACGTGCTGTCTTGCACGTATTGCTACGTTTTACACCAAGTTCACATTGTTTATTGTATTTCAGTTTAGAAAGACCTGCATGCGGCGCGCGCGCGCGCGCGTGTGTGTGTGTGTGTGTGTGTGTGTGTGTGTGTGTGTGTGTGTGTGTGTGTGTGTGTGTGTGTGTGTGTGTGTGTGTGTGTGTGTGTGTGTGTGTGTGTGTGCGCGCGCGCGCGTGTGTGCGTGCGAGTGTACCCCGGGCCAAGCCAACTCGCAGGCGCTCGTGCGCACACACACACACAGCTGACTCGATCCATGCAGCCACAATTAGGTGAGTACACACACACACGCCCCCACCTAAGGGGCATGTCCCACGAGGAGAGGTTAAGGGAAATCGACTTGACGACACTGGAGGACAGGAGAGATAGGGGGAGGGGGCATGATAACGACATATAACATACTGAGAGGAATCGACAAGGTGGACAGAGACAGGATGTTCCAGAGATGGGACACAGCAACAAGGGGTCACAATTGGAAGTTGCAGACTCAGATGAGTCGCACGGATGTTAGGAAGTATTTCTTCAGTCATAGAGTTGTCAGGAAGTGGAAGAGTCTGGAAAGTGAGGTAGTGGAGGCAGGATCCATATATAGCTTTAGAAGAGGAGGGAGTGACCTAGTGGCGACCAATAAAGAGGCGGGGGCCAGTTGTGAATCGACCCCTGCAACCACAATTAGGTGAGTACCACACACACACACACACACACACACACACACACACACACACACACACAAAGTTTAGTATAAGACTGGATGGAGGCATAGTGTTACAGTAGATTAAGTAATACCTAGCGAACAAGACAGCTGTTGATAAAGGCAAACATTTCAGATTGGTAGAGTGTTATAAGGTCCTCCAAGAATCAGTACTATGACTATTACTGTTCTTTGTGAAATGAGGCTAGTACTAGTACTAGGATATTTACTGAGGAGAAACTTCACTCGGGGAGCTGTGTTAATTCTTGATGCATGTAAATGACCTGCCAGAGTGAGGAGGGGGGGGGGTTCGAATCATATGTATCATTGTTTGCCAATTGCATGAAACTAATGAGAAGAATAAAAGCGGAAGAAAATAGGAAAAAAAGGGTTACAGGAAGACATGGACAAGATGTAATAGTGGTCTCAGAAGTGATTACTAGAGTTCAACACAAATAAGTGCGTGGTCATGAAAATTCGGAATGGGAAGTGAGAACAGCCGAAATACAGCTTGACCTGATTCGCCTCTCTACCGCCCAAGAGAGGACAACGCAGGCGCTCGATGGAAGGTGAGATGTCTGGAGGTCGTGCCGGGGGTCAACGCCCCCGCGGCTCGGTCCATGACTAGGTCTCCCGGTGAATCAGAGCCTGATCAACCAGGCTGTTACTGCTGGCCGCGCGAGAAATTACAAATATCGTTCAGGGAGAAAGATCTTGGAGTGAACATCACACCCACCATTTCGCGAGGTGCACATACATCACATACCATCAGCAGCAAATACGAGGTTAGCCAGTCTCAAACTTCCCTACAGAAGAACTCTTTACATGACATGTTAGACCTATCATGGAGTATGTACCACCAGTATGGAGCCCCCACCTGGTCAAGCATATACGAAGATTTGAGAAAGCCCAGAGATTTACAATAAAACTAGTCCCAGAGCTGAGGAGACTGAATCATGATAGACTGAAGAAGTTGATTCTAACGACTTTAGTAGAGGAGAGAATAACTAAGAGAGACATGATTACGATTTATAATATACTTATGAGGGTTTGACAGAAAATATAGAGGCATTTTTTTTAAATGCGAGTCATAAGGGAGCTCATAGATTGTAACTAGTCACAACTGAGTTATTGGAATTTTAGAAAATGCTTTTTCAGCAATAAATAACAAAAGAGCACAATACCGTGACTGGAACAATACACAAATAACCCGCACACAGGGGAGAGAAGCTTACGATGACGTTTCTGTCCGACTTGGACCATTTACAAAGTCGGCCCGAAGTCGGTTCAAATCGGACAGAAACGTCGTCGTAAACTCCTCTCCCCCATTTGCGGGTTATCTGTGTACTTTTTCAGCCACAAGGTGGTAAATAAGTGGAACGCGTTGGATGGGAGTGCTATAAGCAAACTTAATTAACACACAGTTTCAAGAGTGGGTATGATCGCACCCATGAAGGTAGGAACTAACATAACTGGCAACTGTAGTTCAAGAAGCGGAGCCAGGAGCTGAAACACGACCCCCAGGAACAGCTCTTAAGTGTATAACGCCGGGTACACACATACTCAGATATGACCTTCACCTATTTTACACTTCCCAAAACCCTTCGTACTCTCACAGTTTACAAAATACCAGCTGATAAGGATGTTGTCTAAATACATAGCCTCTACATGTACACATTATTCACATTTCAAGTGTTACATACAGTTGATAAGAGGCACCATACTTGATAGAGTACTTCAACAAAACTGATTAATAATATCTGAGGTAAAGTAGAGCGCTGGCAACCATGTGCTGCCACACCAGATACACTACTTTCTCACTATATATATATATATATATATATATATATATATATATATATATATAAAATATATATATATATATATATATATATATAAATTATTTGTACCCACGGAACGAGTGGTATTGATCAATAACAACACTGCACTAGCCAAGGAGCCGAACCATGCTGCTTTGGCCTGTACTCACCTAGTTGTGGTTGCAGCGGTTGATTCATAGCTCCTGGCCCCGCCTCTTCACTGGCTGCTACTGGATCCCCTCTCCTGCACTATGAGCTTAATCATACCTCTGGTTAAAGCTATGTATGGATCCTGCCTCCACTACATCGCTTGCCAAACTATTCCACTTCATGACAACTCTGTGACTGAAGAATTATTTCCAAAACATCTCTGTGATTCATCTGGGTCTTCAACTTCCACTGTGCCCCCTTGTTGCTGTGTCCCATCTCTGGAACTTTTCTGTCTTGTCCACCTTGTCAATTCCTCTCAGTATTTTACATGTCGTTATCATGCCCCCTCCCCTTTTCCTCCTGTCCTCCAGTGTGTCAGGTCGATTTTTATTTATTTATTTAGTAATTTGAGCATACATACAGAGGTACAAAAAATACAGGTAAGAGCGCATGCCAAGCCACTTGTATGCATGCATTAAGGGCTGGTTTTAAATTAACTTAAGATTAACTAAGCAATGATGTAATCAGTGAAAAAACATTATTGTAAAACATATAACAATAAAGCACAAATGATTTATTACAAAGACGGTCATATGGTTGCATGCATTGCTTTACATTCAGTCGAATGGAGTATTCTGTTAGGTGTGTATTTAAAAAAAAACCAAAGTTTGGGTCGTAGGACATACCCTTTGCTCTGGGACTAGTCTTGTTGAAAACCCTTTACACTTTCTCTAGTTTCTTTACGTGCTTGTCTAGGTGTGGGTTCGAAACTGGTGCTGCATACCCCAAATTTATGGGCCCAACGTACAGTGTACAGGGTGCTGAAAAGATTCCCCTTTTTAAGATGGCAGAATGCTGTTCTTTTGATTTTCTAGGCGCCCATATGCTGCAGCAGTTATTTGGGTTTATGTGCGCCCCAGTCCACATAACGTATGTCCTTCGATGGTGCGTGCAACATCTAGCTTGGCTAGATGCACCGTTTTTTAAGGATTGTGTGGTCTAGTGGTTGAAGGCGTCATGCGTTTCGCTCACCATGAGGACGGGCCAAAGAAGCAAGGGTTCGGCTTCTTGGCTTGTGCAGTGTTTTATATATATATAATATTATATTTATAATATATATATATATATATATATATATATATATATATATATATATATTTATATATATATATATATTAATTTTACTAGTGGCTTGGTTTTGGGAAGACTTTCGCCTCACACCCCTGAGTGTCCATTGGGCTAATCCCAGCTGGTTGGAAATTTTGGGCGTATTTCCTTTCACCTGCTGTCCCTGTTCAAATTAGCAGTAAATAGTTTACATGAGTGTTAGCCTAGTGTGGGTGGCCCTCCTGGGGGACAAGACTGAAGTAAGACAGACAGTCCTTAATGACACCCCGACTGTCTTGGGTAATCCGAGTGACTAACCTTCGGGTTAAAAAATCCGCAAATGTTATCTTACTACGTCAGCTATGTGATGCGGAACTCAACGTATTTTCTTAGAACTTTCACAAGCCTTGTTTGCTGTATTTTACGTTCGTTATTTTTTGTTTCAGCGTATATACCCGAAGATTTTATTATATTATTACCACCCAGAGGGTTAAAAACCCAAGAAATCCAAACTTTTATTTATTTATTTGAACATGATACAGAGAAGTACAAAGAAATACAGTTATTTTGACTTAATTCCTTCCCTCGGATGCAACCTACAACATGAACCTAACTCCTTACTTTATTAAGTTACAAACCAGGAAGGTTACTAACCCGGATAATTCAAGTTACCCACTATGTGTGGTTTATCGTCATTAACAGTATCCCTTAGCTCGGTTAGTAGCGTACTCAGCTCACACACTGAGGTCCGCGGTTCGATCCCCGATACGGGTGGCAACATTAGGGCGTGTTTCCTTAAAGACACCTGCTGTCCATGTTCACCTAGCAGTAAATAGGTACCTTTGCGTTAATCGACTGGTGTGGGTAGATACCTGAAGATAACCTAATTTGCGGGAAATTCTCTGCATAACAAAACTCTGTAAAATCCATATCATTGATGTCAGCTAGGACTATATTTATTTATTTATTTATGTCTTTGCAAATAGTACATTGAGATTATGTATTTACAATAATGGGTTGCAGTGCAAAGAGACCCTTTATTATGTACTTGTAGAAATAAAGATTATTATTATTATTATTATTATTATTATTATTATTATTATTGGATCCTTCATCCTCGTTGCCAGAAGCAACTCACATACACAAATAATTTACACTATTATAATTGTACTTGTGTGTACCTATGGCTAAATAAATTTACTTATACACGATGAATAAGACATTTGCAGGATATCCGGATGTTAAGATAAGAGATAAGATTTCGTTCGGATTTTTAACCCCGGAGGGTTAGCCACCCAGGATAACCCAAGAAAGTCAGTGCGTCATCGAGGACTGTCTAACTTATTTCCATTGGGGTCCTTAATCTTGTCCCCCAGGATGCGACCCACACCAGTCGACTAACACTCAGGTACCTATTTGCTGCTAGGTGAACAGGACAACAGGTGTAAGGAAACGTGTCGGAATGTTTCCACCCGCCGGGAATCGAACCCGGGCCCTCCGTGTGTGAAGCGGGAGCTTTAGCCACCAGGCCACAGGTTTACCTCCTTATTGGCATTATATACCCCTGATCGAGGGATACCCACGTACCTATTTACTGCTAGGTGAACTGGGGTATCAGGTGTTATGAGACTTCCTCACATGGCCTCCCCTATCAGGGATTGAACCTATGTTCCTTCAGTTGTGAGTTCAATGACGTATCACAGATTATCAATGAAAAAACTGAGGGGCGGGTAAACCATCAGGGACAGAAACACTCATGTCTTATCAATACCTGTCTAACTTGAGGCTCAGTTGATAAAGTCCTCAGCTCACTCTGAGGGACCAGGGATCGATCCCCGGCACGGGTGAAACGTTGGGCGTGTTTCCTTACACCTGCTGTCCCTGTTTACTTACCAAGTAAATAAGTACCTGGGTGTTAATCACCTTACACCTGCTGTCCCTGTTCACCTGACAGGTAGGTACCTGAGTGTTAGTTAACTGGTGTGGGTGGCATCCTGGGGGGGGGACAAGACTGAAGGACCACACTGGAAATAAGACAGTCCTCGATGACGCACTGACTTTCTTGGGTTATCCTGGGATTAAAAATCTCAACAAAATCATACCTTACAAACTTGGCGAAATCAAAGCAGACTCAAAACTCTCATAAAAGTAAGTAATGTTTATTTTATCTTTTATATTAAATAATACTGTATTATGTAAAAATGTTAATATGTTATTAATATATTTTTAAAGAACTGGATGGGGGTACAAGTGTCGTATGGCACATCTGAAGTAGATCGTGAAAAAAAAAATGGCACATTGAATACAAAAGGTCTAACACCTCAAATACCTTAGTGAAACTTTTAAATTAATGAAAAACTATTAGATGTTAATATGTTCATGTAGCTAGCATTACTTTCAGACAAAGATAGAAGAAAAAAATAACAAAAGCTAAGGAACTATAAATAAACTTAGTTAATATTATTAAAAAGTATTGACATATTTCAAGACATGATTAGTACCGTAGTTTTGATGCATCAAATACTTAGCAATATTGCCAAATAGTTACATTTATACTTGAGGGTTGCACACCAAGAATGTAAAGAAAAATATAAAATATCGTCTGTTTTATAATTTGGTAAAGTATAAATTTCTCTTTTCCTATGGAAAATACAAAAAAAAAAAATCTTTTCTGCCATAAAAACTTATGCGGCTCCTCCTCCCAAGATCAGCTGACACACCACAACAACATGGATGTCAACAACACTGGTGGCTACACGCTGCCACTGACTTGTAAGTATGGAAAAAAGGGAGTATTGAAAAGAATACATTATAAATAATCAAGAGAAGTTCGGATTTAAGATACTCAAGTGTAAATAATGTGTCAAACTAATTTAATTTAAGAGATAAAGCATCAGAGATCTTGGAGCGTAGCGAGGTGGGTGTGTCAGATGATCCAAACTTTTATATGCTGAAGACTTTTCTTCCATATGAAACTTTAACAGTCAATACGAATTACAAAGTATCTGTATGGGGGTTGAGTCAGGTGCTGCATGAATTGTGGGTGGAGTTTAGGTAATGGCAGTGTTCTGCTTAGGTGTTGTTCAGTCAGTATTTTTTGAAATTCGGAAGCTGCCTGTGTTTTGAGCGATGATGACGGTGATGATGATGGTATTATTGGTGGTGCTGGTGGTGGTGATGAGAGCAATCCAAACATTATGATTCAATTCTGACTCCTTCATAACACGTTTGGTTTCTTGAAACTTCACGAGATGGTTGTTGGTGTTGTTGTGTGAGGCTGGCATTAATTGGCTCATATCTTGGGTAAGAGTCTTATTCACCAATTTTTGTATGCTTCCAATAACATATTTATTCTCACAAATGCAGTTTATAAGGCTTCTAGATGTTTCCCACGTGTATTTTATTATGTTCCCCATAAAGAATAATGTAGATATCAACATTTGATTCTCTGTGTTCCTCTATTTTCTTAGGTGTTGATAGTGGTCGCAGTAATGCTAGCTGTTGGTATTGCCTTTAGCAATAAAGTTATGGATGCTCTATGAAATTTGTCTAACTGGGAGAACAATGTATCAATCAGGAGTTTGTCCCCTGGTGGGATAAATGTCTTCTCAGTAAATGACCTAATACTGCATATATGTGCATACTTGTAAGTGTTAATTACCCCTCAAGGGAGGTTCCTTGATAGTAGTGAGGAGCTCTTAATCTAAGGAATAGGACTTGGCCTTCTTTTTCTTGGATAGACTCTGATTGCCTCTCATTCCGCAGACACTGTATCACCTCTACTGGTTTAGCACTTTCTCTAAATATAATAATATTAATTTGTTTGGTACTCAGGTAAAAGATGGATTATAAAGATCTTGAATTATTAATCTAAAAATATAACTATCATTCAAACTGTATCAGTTTTACTTAAGAAAGTTTATTAATAATAATGAGGGTTTGAGACCTGCCCTTTAATTACCCTTCATGTCCTGTACCTGCTACTTATTTCTTTTCATTCTCTTTTGTCATTCAGCATTGAATAATCTTTTCAAAGTTTAGTTCTTCTTTTTTTGTAACTGATGTTATTATTCAACTTTTTATCTTCGAAAGTTCTTCCTAAAAATAGGTAAAGGCCTAATACAGTGGACCTTGGTACTCAAACTTAATTCATTCCAGAAGGCTGTTTGAGTACCAATCTGTTTGAGTATTGAACGAATTTTTCCCAACCAATTTTCTTTTTAGTTGGCTGTTATCACTAATCTTCATAGGTCCCATGGTGACTTATTTATCCAAATAATATAAAAAAAAAACACCAAAAATTGCAAGAAAATGTGCAATAGTTTACAGCAAAGTTCTGGCAAGTCATGTTTGGTTGAGTGCTGAGCAAACGGTTGACTACCGAATGATTTTTTTTACCGAACAAAGTGTTCGAATACTGAATTGTTAAAATAATCAAGGTGCTATTCTCAGGTGCTAAAGTAGAATAAGTTCACAATTTTGCCATTATATTCCAAAGCTCATTTATTTGATTACCACTTTATTGTTCACCACAACTTACATTAGTCCCTTTTATATTATTATTATATACTATAATTCTAACTTTAAAGAATTACCTTTATAGTACTACCTACTATCATATTCCCAAGCTCCATTATTTGATCATCACTTTATTTGTATTAGTCCTTTTATATTGTCTCCTTTATTTTAGCTTAAAAAAAAAAAAAAAAAAAAAAAAAACTACCTTAGCTCATTATTTTACATTTGTTAAATAATTCAGGTGCTATTTTTTAGCTTAAGACTATTTACTTTGTTTTATACTTGATTCTAACTATAGATTCACTACAAATCTTATGATTACAAGCATTGATCCTGATACCAACCTCTTATTTAATGACTTAAATGAATCAAACAGTTACTGTAATTACTACACTGCAGAACAATCAAAGGCACTTCTCAGTGCCAACAACAACATAACTATCTTTAACTACAATATCAGATCTTTAAGCAAGCATTACGATGACCTCATAGCATTACTAAATTCCTTACATGCCAATATGTCCATCATTACACTAACTGAAACCTGGCTAAAGCCTGATAGTACAGATGTCTATGCCATTCCTGGTTACACAGCCATACACAACTGTAGGCCAGACCAACAAGGGGGTGGCACAGCCATATACTACTCAGACCAACTAGAATGTATCACTAATACTTGCACAAGGGATGATACATGGGGAATATATAATAGCCAAATTCAAATCCAAATACCTACAAAACCTCTCTCACATTGATAACATTTACAGATTTCCACAGTCAAACATTAGCCAATTTAGTCAAAACCTAGGAAGTATGATAACTGATGCACGCATGAACAAAGATCACTTACTACTCTCAGGTGACTTCAATATAAATCTCCTGCAAGGACCAGACCCACACGTTACTGAATTCACAAACACAAGGGAGTAACTGTATGTTGCTACCAACAGTAACAAAACCTACAAGAGTTACAGAGACTAGTGTTTCCCTACTTGACCACATCTGGACCAACACCATACCCCTTTAAAATCAGGCATAATTACAGATAATACCCACAGACCACTACCCTACTTTTCTCATAACAACTCTTGGTAAATTACCCAAGACACTACTAAAGTCACCTTCAGACTTCACAATGAGGCACCATTAATAACTTCAAAAACAGCATTTAGCAAACATTGACTGGCAAACTGAGCTAGAAATCTATAAAAGATATTGACGAATATCTGGCTTGATAAAGCTCCTGGAGAGCAAAAACGTTGCCAAAATTTAAATTGTCACATTAGTTGCACTTGTGTCCTTTTACTTTACAAAAATTTTCTAAAAAGCCCCAAAATACCTCTATAACAAGCACTGCCAAAAAAAAACTAAACAGATGACAGCTAAGAGACTGAACAGTCCCTGGTTAACACCCAGCATTCTCAAATCCTAAATACAAACACCAATATGAAAAACAGTACAGAATGGGTCACATAACCAGAGACCAAACAAAACTTTTACTCGTCAATCCTAACCAGCCTGAAAAGAAGGGCAAAAAAATTGTATTATGAGAACAGATTATCCAACTTACGGGGGTGATATAAAAAAGACCTGGAAAACCTATCAGAAATTCTAGGAACAAAAAAAGATATCACGAAAAGCGAAATAAAATTAGCAAAATCAGATGAACCCCAACTCCCACCAACAGAAACAGCAAACAGACTCAATGACTTCTTCCCCACTATAGGAAAAAAACCCTTTGCCAATAAAATCCCAAGCTCAGAAAACCCCACCAAATGACTACCTCACTGGCAACTACCGAACACACTGTTCCTAGCTCCGACTAACCCATACGAAGTCTCCCTTATTATCAACACGCAAAAAAAACAAGGCAGGGATATTTAAATACCTTACCACCCTTTATATAAAAAAAAGTGTCACAGTGCTATCCCAATCATTGCAACACTCTTTAACAAATCCATTGATCCTCCACCTTCCCTACAGTACTCAAAATAGCAAGGGTCACCCCAATCCACAAAGGAGGAGACCAAACAGAGTTGAATAACTATAGGCCAATATCCCAACTTACACCCTCTCTCAAAAATCTTCGAAAAATTAATTCATAAACGAATCTACTCCTACCTTATCTCCCAAAACATACTCAACCCCTGCCAATTTGGATTCAGGCCAAATAAAAATACTAATGATGCTATTATACACATGCTAGAACATATATACACTGCAATAGAGAAAAAAGAAGTCCCACTGGGGACTTCATTGACTTACGTAAAGCTTTTGATACAGTTAACCATGACTTGCTCCACGTAAAATTGTCACACTATGGTATAAGAGGCATTTCCCTCAACTACCTCAAGTCATACCTCAGCAACAGAAGCCAATATGTGTATGCAAATGGGGCAAACTCTTCTGCACAACCAATTACAGTTGGTGTCCCACAGGGAAGTGTCCTTGGCCCTCTTCTCTTTCTCCTATACATAAATGACCCACCAAATGCTTCGCAATTACTCAAACCCACACTATTTGCAGATGACACTACATACGTCTTCCCCACCCGAGCCCAGTCACGCTAGCCAAAACTGTAAATACCGAATTACAGAAAAATCTACCTGGATGAGGACTAACAAACTTACACTAAACATTGACAAAACCTACTTTATTCAGTTTGGTAACAGAGCTACAGATGTCCCTCTTAACAAATGATAAACGGATCACCTATCCAAAGCTAACAGAGGGAAAATTCTTAGGAATCCACCTTGATAATAGACCAAATTTCATACACATATACAACAAATTTCTAAGAAAATTTCCAAGACTGTAGGCATACTATCGAAGATATGATTTCTATGCTCCACAGTCAGCCCTCCTGGCCCTATATCACTCTCTTATTTACCCCTATCTCACCTATGGAATTTGTGCAAAGGGCTCAACAACAAGTAAAACCCTCTCAGACCACTAATTACCCCAAAAAAAGGCTGCAGTTAGAATGATAACAAATTCTCACTATAGGCAGCACACTCCACCAATATTCAATACACTAAAACCCATTCCCATACAAAACATTCATACTTATTACTGCACCTATTACATACATAGAACACTTAACTCGATATTAACCCTCCCCTCCCAAAAATCTCCTTGCCAACCTCAACAAACACATGACCATAACACAAGGCACAGATCACTCTTTGATGTTTCCTCGGGTTTCCCTCTCACACTATGCCAAAAACTCAATGCACATAAAAGGGCCCCAAAATCTGGAACTCATTACCTGTAAATATAAAAGAAACACTACCTGTTTATAAATTCAAGTCTCTTCTCAAAGATCAAATTACTCACCCAAAACCAAATAAATACTGAATAACTGAACCTTATAAATTGTATATCTTAAATGTTTCTCACAATTATACACATAAATGTTAAACCTAAAACCCAATCTAACTTTATTATATTTTAAATACACTACCTAACAGAATACTCCATTCTACTGAATGTACAACAATGCATACAATCATATGACCTGTCTTTGTAATACTCACTTGTGCTTTATAGTAATCTGTTTACATTAAAGTTTTATCACTGATGTCATCATTGCTTAGTTCATCTTAAGTTAATTTTAAGCCAGCCCGTAATGCTATGCATAGTATAAGTGGCTTTGGCATGCTGCTCTTATCTGTATTTTTTGTACCTCTGTATGTGTGCTCAAATTTTTAAATAAATAAATAAATAAATAAAAGTAGGGAGCTGTTTGAGTGCCAAGGTTCCACTGTATATGTGTAAATGTAAAGATAATTTTTTTTTGCATGAATATTAAGTAGGTTATGATTACAGTATAAACCTGTGCAATATATTTTAATTTGGAAAACTAATTTCTGCAAATTTTCATAGTTAAGGAGTTTATTTTTTTTCACAGAATATAAGACATACTAACTATTGGTTACCTGACCATGAGTAGCAATAAGGTGCCCTGTGGGCCACTTTTGAGGTATCTTTTCCAAGGGGATCCAAAAGTTTATAAGGTAAGCCTGAAAATGGTCATTTAGTTTATACACAGTTTACCCCCCCCCCCCCTCCCAAAAAAGAGAGAGAGAGAGAGAGAGAGGAGAGAGAGAGAGAGAGAGAGAGAGAGAGCACTCCGTCTCAAAATAAGGCTTGATGTACACTATTATTTGTGTAAACACCAGATACACTGGTGTATCGGTGTAATTTTATTATTATTCGCCACTCATTACTCTGTTGAGTATTATAACCCAGATACTTTTTAGTGGCTCATTCGTCTTAGAGAAGTAAAGTGAGAGCAACCTAAATTCTCATATTCCTAAATCTATATCAGTCTTATGTTTTTCAGTGTTGCATTTTGCAGAAACTTCTACATTAATAAACTGGAGTGGCTCCAACCACATTATCCTGAGTATAGAAAGAAGAAAACTTGTGCATTGTAGAGATACCTTTGTTGTGGAAATATTTTTCCTACTAGGGACTTTATTAATCCAATACAGAGACATAAACACAGGAAATATGTATAGTAGTGTTCAGGTCAATTGTAGCATAAATAAGGTGTTCATCAGGAAGTGCAAGAAACCCCTTTCACATGCCATAAATATTCTTTGGAGAGGGAGCATAGACACAGGGGACATCCCCCACAGTCTCTAAAAACAACAGATATGGCCACACTCCACAAAGGCGGCAGAAAAGCAATTGCAAAGAACTACAGACTGATAGCACTAACATCTTTGAAAGGGTTCTAAGAAGCAAGATCACCAACCACTTGCACACCCATCATTTGCACAACCCAGGACAGCATGAGTTTAGAGCAGGTTGTTCCTGCTTCTCGCAGCTACTGGATCACTATGATATGGTCTTGGATGCATTGGAGGACAGTCAAAATGCAGATGTAATATACTCAGACTTTGTGAAAGCCTTTGACAAGTGCGATCATGGTGTAATTGCACATAAAATGCATGATAAAGGTATAACAGGAAAAGTTGGTAGATGGACTTATAACTTCCTAACAAATAGAACATTAAGAGTAACAGTAAACAAGTAAACAGAGTAAAGTTTAAGGCAGTTACAGTGAAAAGCTCTGTTCCACGAGGTGCAGTACTCACTCTCATCTTTTTCTCCATCCTCATATCTGACATAGACATGTAAGCCACAGCACTGTGTCCTCCTTTGCTGATGATACCAGAATTTGCATGACAGTATCATGGATTGGGGACACTGCAGATCTCCTAGAGGACATTAACCAAGTCTTTAAATGGGGTGCAGAAAACAATATGAAGTTTAGTGAAGACAAATTTTAATTACTCTGCTATAGAAACTCAAGAAAATAAAAACTGGATCAGAGTGTAAAACAAATTCCAACCACACAATAAAGCAAAAAACTAATGCAAAGGACCTGGGAGTGGTAATGTCAGAGAATCTCACTTTCAAAGATCATAACAGTGTGTCTACCACATCTGCTAGGAAAATGATAGGATGGATAATGAGAACCTTCAAAACTAGGGATGCTAAGCCAATGTTGATTCTCTTCAAATCACTTGCTCTCTCTCTCTAGGTTGGAATATTGCTGTGCACTAATAGCCTCTTTCAGGGCAGGCAAAATTGCAGACATGGGAAATATTCAGAGAACTTTCACTGCACATGTAAGTATAATAAAACACTTAAATTACTGGGAACGGTTGAAGTTCCTTGACTTGTACTTGGAATGCAGGAGAGAAAGATACATGATAATATACTCTTGGAAAATTCTAGAGGGACTAGTCCCAAATCTGCACACGGAAGTCACTCCCTACGAAAGCAAAAGACTTGGCAGGTGGTTCAACATTCCTTCAGTGAAAAGCAGGGGTGCCATGAGTATGCTAAAGAGACAATACAATAAGTGTCAGGGGGGCCCAGAACTGTTTAACTCCCTCCCAGCATACATAAAGGAGATTACCAATAGACTCCTGGCTGTCTTCAAGGAGATGGACAGACGCCTGAAATCAGTAACTGATCATCCGGGCTGTGGTTTGTATGTCAGAATGTGTGCAGCCAGCAGTAACAGCCTGGTTGATCAGGCCCTGATCTACCGCAAGACCTGGTCGTGAGCTGGGCCCTGGGGGTATTGACCCTCGGAATACCCTCTAAATATACTCGACGTATGTTACCTAATGGCTGTGTCTTGGAGGCATAAAATCAATTTAACTAAAATATTGGAGATGCTAAAGCTTCCCATGTTCTGTATAACTGTATTATTAAGGGTTTATTTAAATTCTCTTGTCAAAAATAAATTTGGAGACATTTCACCTCATTAAATGGTTATGGGTATTATTAACATTGCCAGTATAGCAGGCATAGTTATGCTAATTGACATTGGTGTATGTGTCTCACTGTCTGTCCTACTTATTATCACATATTTTCCACATGGCATAACAGTCTTCAGTTTTAGTTTTACTTAGACTTATGAATTTCTTGCTGGTTAAGTCTCGGATAGTAGTGCATGTAGTAGAAATGGCAGTGTTAGTATTAGTGGCTACTTTATAATTGTATATAGAGAAGGCACTGGAAATATTATTAGCCATCTTACTGTTGGGAAGGATGTCAAGTGTTTTCTGAGATTTGTTGAGTTTGATGATACTGATGATCAGCAGAGCCTGATTTTTTTTTTTTTTTTTTTTTTTTCCCAACAAGTCGGTCGTCTCCCACCGAGGCAGGGTGACCCAAAAAAAGAAAGAAAATCCCCAAAAAGAAAATACTTTCATCATCATTCAACACTTTCACCACACTCACACATTATCACTGCTTTTGCAGAGGTGCTCAGAATATAACAGTTTAGAAGCATATACGTATAGAGATACACAACATATCCCTCCAAACTGCCAATATCCCAAACCCCTCCTTTAAAGTGCAGGCATTGTACTTCCCAGAGCCTGATGTCCACAGTTAATGATGAAAGGAAAGGGGAAGTGTAGTTTAGAGAGCACCTGGTAAATGTAGTCACATTCCTCCTCAAGATATTCAGAGCTACACACCCTGTGGGCTCTCAGCTTTTTTCTGCTACACTTTCTCCTAGCATTTCATCAATGATTGTAGTCATCATGCTCTGTGGATCAAAATCCCTAAACTCGAGAAATCTTGGGAAAGATTTGTTATCCTCCTCAAAAGTAAGGTAGCTAATAATATTTCCAGTGCCTTCTCTGAGTACAGTCTTAGAGTAGCCACTATTACCAGCACTACCATTAGCGATATAAGCAGCAAGAATCCCACAAGTCTCATTGAAACTGAAGCCAGTGTGTGTCATTCTACATTAAAGATGCCAGAAAATGTACATGGGAGCGACAGCTAGACATACACACACTCATCTATACACTAGTTTTAATGAGCATAAGTATGCCTGCCATTCTGACTATGTTAATAATGTCCGTGTTATGTACAGGAATAATTATGACCACTTGATGAAATGTAAGGATGTCAAACTTATTATTAGATAAGAGGATTTAAATGAACACCATCATATCTGGGGCCATTTGTCTTAACAATATGGCTGTGCAATACAGGAAACCTCATCATCTCCAGAATTTATGCTAAACTGATTTTAGGCTGTGAGGACACATTTATTAGGTGGCACCATAACTTAATTTTGGTCACTCTGTCTACACTACAACTGACCTTTACATTACTAATACATATTACCCAGCTATTGTGTCTCTTAACCCTTTGACTGTTTTGGTCGTATATATACGTCTTACGCGCCACTGTTTCGATCGTATTTATATGCATAAATTCTAGCGGCTTCAAATCAAGCAGGAGAAAGCTGGTAGGCCCATATGTGAGAGAATGGGTCTGTGTGGTCAGTGTGCACCACATAAAAAAAATCCTGCAGCACACAGTGCATAATGAGAAAAAAAACTGACCGTTTTTTTTTTATTAAAACGCCAACTTTGAGGTGTATTTTCGTATAGTATTTATCGTTGTATTCTCGTTTTCATGGTCTCACGTGATAAAATGGAAAACATATTACAGAAATAGAGATCATTTTGATTAGTTTCACGATGAAAATGACCTTGAAATTGAGCTCAAAGTAGTGGAAATGTTCGATTTTTACCAAGGTTCAGGAGTAAGCAAATCACACCACACGTCCAATACCTGTCAACTGGGGAGTCAAATATTCTTTCACTAGTGCACTGATATTATTTATACCATTTTTACAATAATGCAGTAGTCTGCATAACAGTAAATTTTGTAGTTTTTGTATGAATAAAAAATCAAAATAGAAAGCAATAGTAATATAAGAGGGGCCTAGAGACGTGACTAATGAACAGAGGATATGTTATTTTAGTGCCATGAATATCAAATTGTTTATTCTGGACCCTATTTTGAAATTGGCATCTTTTTTAATTTGCGTGAAATTGGCCAAATTGCCAATTTCTGACCACTTTATTGGGTAGTTCAAGTCGGTAAATGGGTTGTTTCTTGTACTCATCTGATAGAAAAAAATGGAGTTCTAAAGAAATAGCTATGAGTTTGGTCAACTGGAACAATGGAATTGGCCAAAAACAGGGCTCAAAGTCGGCGAAATGGCTGATGCGTATATGTCGCCGAGACCGCTAACTTCGCGGGAGGGTAATTCCGTGAGTTTTCGACCAAATTTCGTACTTTTGGTGTCATTACCATCGGGAAAAGATTCTCTCTCATATCATAAGAATTTTTTTTTTTTTTCCAAAAAATTTTGCAACATAGAATGACAGTTTCAGAAAGGGCCTTGCGACAGTCAAAGGGTTAAATTGATAAAGCATCTGGTAAACAAAATATTTCCATAATAAACTTCTCACATTGCATGTTGCATTCAGGTGTCACCCATTTCTATATAAACAATGTATCATATGGAAATAAACTTGAATTTGAATATACAGGCAGGCCCTGCCTTACAGAACCTCACTTTGCAGTGTTTCCCAATATAACAGTTTTCAATTATACCCATTCTTCATTTATTCAGACTTCTTACAACTATATGTATTCACCACTCTCTATAAGCTAAGGATGGAAATATTTTAAGGTAAGTAATGTGTGTATATGCATTTTTTTAGGCTTCGCTGTATTGCTCACTTAATATATGATTGTGTAAACATGTTATCAGGCTTTTATATGCATCTGAAAGTGAAAATTAGCTATGATTCACTTTACAGCAATTTTAACTTTATAGCAGTAGCTTGGAACCTAAGCTGCTGTATAAGTGGGGCCCTCCTGTACCTTGTTTGTAGCATTTCCTGAGAGAAGAAAGACCATAATTTGTCCTGAAAGGTCTGCACACCATGCATTTGTTTTAATAGACCTTTTTAAAATTTTTTTTTTTTTTTTTTTAGTCTCTTAGGAAAAAATGTCCCTCTCTTGGAAACTTGAGTCATTGAAGTCATTAATATAAATAATATTTGCCCCCCTCTTCCCCAGAAAATGAAATGACTGAAAAAAATATTCTCTGTACTGTACTGTGGAGTTGCTGGATAACAGTAAAGTAAATTCCATCAGTGAGTATGGTGTGCTAAACATAGAATACAGAGAACATAAATTTTTTTTTTTACAAATCAGGGGTGTATAATGGCAGGTATTGCTGATAAATGTGATTGTGAGAATTTGTAGCAGAGAAAATGTTTATTATTGGTTACATATTGCTCAGAGTAGAACTTTATCAAGTCATGACTTTATTCTTTAATCTTCATGCTCTCTTGAATGTCTAGAATAGCTAAAATTGTGTGTCTGCCTGCTGTGATTAAAAAATAAATACAAATACTATAATAGATTTAATCTACTGTAACCCAATAAAGCCAAATAATGTGACTTATTTTTATTGGGGTTCTTATTATTTTATTAACGTACAGTGGACCCTCAAATTTCATAATTAATCTGTTCCAGAGTCTGACAAAAGGCGAAATTTACGAATGGTGAGACCATTTTCCCCATAAGAAATAATGTAAATCCAGTTAATCCGTTCCAGACACCTGAAAGTATTAACAAATTTTTTTTTTTTTACATTAATATAGATTTACACACAGAAAAGAATGAGACATCAAGTATAAAACAATAATAACATCACACTTACCTTTATTGAAGACTCTTGTTGGTGTATGGAAGACAGGAGGAGGGAAGAGGATGGAGAAGTTACACTATTGTTTGGTAGGGGAATCCCTGTCCATAAAGGCTTTAGGTACCAAGTCCTTATCTGGGGTTACTTTCCTTCTTTGTTTTCTAATGCCACTAGGGCCAACTTGAGAGTCACTGGACCCCTGCCACTCAAAAAATTGTTCCAGAGAGCTCTGTTTCTGGTGTCTCTTTAAAATTTGCCTAAAATGGGACAAGACATTGTCATTGTACATGTTGCTGACACTGCTTGCAACAGCTTTGTCAGGGTGATGTTCCTCCACAAACGTTTGCACCTCACTCCACTTTGCACAGATGTCCTTAATGTTCAAAGAAGGTACCTTCTTCCATCTCTCTTCCTCCTCTGAAGCAATTTCCTGACCTGTGATCTGTTGCTGTTGCAGATGAAGGTCTTGCAGCTCTTCAGTGGTTAGCTCTTCACTGTGGTCCTCCACCAACTCTTCCACATCCTGGCCAGTCACATCCAACCTCATGGAATTTCACAATGCCACAACAGATTCCATAACTGGCATAGGTTGTCAGGGTCAGCCTCAAACCCTTCAAAATCTTTGAGGACACAATCTGGCCACAGTTTTCTCCAAGCAGAGTTCAAAGTCCTGGAAGTCACTCCCTGCCAAGCCTTATCTATAAGGCCTATGCAATGGAGGATATTGAAGTGATCTTTTCGGAACTCTCTTAGGGTCAGTTGAGTGTCTGAGGTCAAATCAAAGCACCTTTGAAACATTGCTTTGGTGTAGAGTTTTTGAAGTTTGAAATGATCTGCTGGTCCATGGGCTGGATGAGAGGAGTGGTATTAGGGGGCAAGAACTTCACTGTGATGAAAATAAACTCCTCCACCATTTGGTCATCCAAGTCTGGAGGATGAGCAGGAGCATTGTCCATTACCAGGAGGCACTTAAGTGGCAATTTATTTTCCAGGAGGTATTTCTTCACACTTGGGCCAAACACTTCATTGAACCAATCAAGGAAAATTTCCCTTGTGACCCATGCCTTACTGTTAGCCTTCCACATCACACACAATTTGATTTTGGCAACACTGTGTTTCTTGAACACACTGGGATTTTCAGAGTGATACACCAGTAAAGGCTTCACTTTGAAATCCCCACTAGTATTACCACAGAACATGAGAGTTAGCCTGTGTTTAATAGGCTTGTGTCCTGGCAGTGCTGTTTCCTTCTGCGTGACGTAGGTCCTCTTTGGCATTTTCTTCCAAAAGAGGCCTGTTTCATCACAATTGAACACTTGTTGGGGGATGAATCCTTCAGCCTCTACATAGTCCTTGAATTCCTACCCGAATTTTTCAGCCGCACATTTGTCAGAACTTGCAGCCTTGCAGTGCTTTACCACACTGTGTATGCCACTCGCTTCTTAAATCTCTCAAACCAGCCTTTGCTGGCCTTAAATTCACTAACATCAGCACTCGTTGCAGGCGTTTTCTTTACGAGATCGGCATGCAACTGCCTTCTTTTTCACAAATTATCGACTGCATAACACTATCTCATGCTAACTGTTTTTGGTTGATCCACACCAACAACAAATTCTCAACATCTTTGAGTATTTGCGATCTCTTTTTTATGAGCATATCTACCCCTTTTGCAACAACAGCTTCCTTGATTTCCTTTTTCTTCGCCACAATGGAAGTGATGGTTGTATGGGGCTTCCCATACATCCTGATAAGATGGGGCACACGCCTGCCACTTTCACATTTTGCAATTTCTTTCTTTCTTGAATTCTGTCATGTTTCTCATATTCTTTACCAAAGGGCTGGCACTAGAAGCTTTCTTTGGGTCCATAGTGGCTTATTTAGCAGTTGCAAGCACAATAAAGAATGGAATATTACGAAATGTATTGTATGAACGCATGGGGTGGTGGTCACTCGCCAGTAAACAATGCCACATTGACTGGGAATGGTGTGTGGGGCGCCTTTGTCGTCCGGAGCATTCGTGTGCGTTCCAGATGACTGACAAATGGCGAGGTAAATTACGAACCGCGAGGCTATATTTTGACAAAAAAAGTTGTCGAAAGGCGAAATTTACGAAGCGCGAGGCTTACAGAACTCGAGGGTCCACTGTATACCATCACTTTCATGTTTATATATAGCTAATAGTATTATTATTTTCAGGAGGTGAATGCTTATCTTCATCACGATGGCAGTCTTACATCAGAGTGTCGGCTCTCTCTCTCCTTTGTTACTTACACCTCTCTTAAGGAGAAACTTCTGGCTCATCCACATGAAGCAGCATGTGTATTTCATCACCTGGTAGCTAGAAGCAAGCAGATTAACACTAATGAAAATATCCAGCAGGATGCTGCCTCTTCCACTGAGCAGGTGGAGAGCAGCAGCAGGCAGGTTAATGCCAGGAAAGATACCCAGCAGGTGGCTTCCTCTTTTCTTGATGTCACTCAGAGTAAGGAAGCAAGGAACATCAGAAAACATGAAGATGTTAGCTGTTCTTCAGAAGACACCAGTAATTTTATAAAGCTTTTCATTGAGTGCTTAGACCACTGCTTGCACAGAATTGAGAATTTAGATGAAAAGTTGCATAAAGAAGAGGAGGAATATTTAGTTTTACTAAAGAAACAGCAGAAGAGTATCTCAGCTGTAAGTCCTTCAGTGAAAGCTGGTCAGAGATTCCTTGAATCTGTAGAAGTGTCAAAACTTGAGGAAAGAAAACTGGTGACCAATACAGAGAAATTAAGACATGAAGCACTCTTTTACAGTTTACTCTTACATTCCTGTGATGTGGAGCTTTCTGCTCTAAGTGAATTGTTTCCTAGAATGTTGAAGCTGTGTTATGATAGAAACTTATTGCATGCACATAAAATACATGTATCTCTTCTAGCAAGCTCAAAGGAGTTCCTAAATATGTTCTGTATTAAGGAGAGTGAGTATCTTCTCAGAAAGTCTCGAACTAAGAAGTTTGAGCAGCTTCAAGGTGTGTTGTCACCCAGTTCCTCTGATATGAGACAGATATTTCATATCTGTACTAAAACTTCACAACATTTCCTGCAGATGATGTTCACAGTGTTAGCAAATAATAAAGTTACTGGAATGCTGGCAGTAGAAATGCAAGAAGAATATCAGTGGTTAATACCCTTGTGGCCAGTGCTCTTCATACAAGTGTTGTCAAAGTCTCATGACAGAGTAGAGGATCCTACAAGTGTAGCAGCAGTTTGGGACAAGCATTCAGACATTGTAGATCCTTCACTCATGAAGGTGTGCAGTGCCCTCAGCTGTGACATGAGCTTTGTTAACTGGTGCCTAGCTCATAAGAGTAGGATCAAGGCTCTGCCTCTCTTGCAGTTAATAAGAGACCATTCCCCCCTCTATGCTCTACATAAATCACTGCCAATGCATACCTTGGTTCCCGAGGATGTGTTACAAATAATTGAGGAACATTGCATGGCTAGAGATTCTAGTGGAAACTTGAGCTTTAATTGTAAAAATATTTACATAGCATTTTGCATACTCTATCAAGTGTTTAAGGTAATTGGAGCTGGTATGCAGTTGGATAACATTGCTGCTGGTTGGCAAGCGAGAGGAAAACTATGTGTTGGCAAAAGACAAGGTAATGTAATTAATAGCTTTCAGGATCGGCAAAGTCATGAGGCTTTTTATTTAAAGAACATTGCAGAAAAGCTTGAAGGCGTGAAAAGAATGCTTAATGACCTGCAGCCTCTTGAGTGCAGATTAGAGGTAATGGAGAACATGTACTCCACAATATTTGTGAAGCATAGTGATATTAGCGATGAGGGGCAGAGTGAGTCAGGGGGAGAGGAAGGAGACTTTGATCAATCTTGCATTTCTCAACAAACTGACATAGATAGTTTAGCAAGCATGTCACAATCTGCAACCCTCCTAAAACCCAGCTCACTCAGAAAATCTAACATGACTTCAGTTTGCACTCCAGAGAAGGATGTGGATACCAAAGATGATAAAATATCAAATTTTTCTGAATACATTATAATTGATAAATTTGGTATAGAAGGAAAGCGCTCCAGTAAAGTATGCAATGCGAGCAGCGACTCTGGAGGAAGCAACTCTGCAAAATTCTCTGAATCTTCTTGTATATCTGCAGCAACAGAACAGGTGAAGCTGGACATGTACCAACATTGTCCACAGAGTGTCCAGGTAGTTTATCCCCAGAGCAGTTGCACCATGAGTGGGAAAAACACTACTTCTAATATGAGTGAACTACCTTGCACTGGATACATAATAAATGCTCTAGTGGCATGGGATATAATGTTACTGCTCCGGGATTCTCTTTTGGCACTCACTGCTAGAGCGTTCACAGAAAATGCCAGTCCATCTCAACTTCAAGGAAATTCCTCCAAGCAATCTTTTCAGAGTCGCTCAGCTTATCTCTCACGTTGTGTTAATGAAGGATTATGGCGACTGCAGGTAATGACACCTAGTAATCATAAGTTTGCCTCTTCTGATGTATTTAACGAATACTTAGATGGTACACTTCTTGCTGATACTGCACAGTGTATCAAGTATGAAATTTCTCCCAGTTTGGAAGGTACTTTTCGAAAAATTACTCCATCTAAGGACGTGGGTTCCCTTCAAGGAATCAAGAAAAGGCCTGTAAAAGACAAGAACTCTATAGAAACAGGAGGTTCAAAAGAATATAGAAGCATTTTACATTTTCTGTTCTCTCCTTCTCCAAGTCTCATCACTCTGGCACTGGCAAATGGTAATGTAAATAGAATAAATCAAATATTTCAGACATATCAAATCCCAGACACTGCCACAGAAAAGCGTGAGGCCTGCTTAGCAATGCGTCTGAATGAGTTAAGACCTAAATTATCAACTTCAAATCAAAAGTTTGGGCGAATGAAGGAGACTAAAGTAGTGCAGGCCAGTGAAAACTCCAGGAATATGCTGCAAAATATTGGACTGCTGGCTCGGGAAGGCTCAGCTCAAGTAGGGGCAACTAACCTGATATATGACTTAATAACCTCAACTCCACCACCCATTCCAAAAGGAATGCCAAAAGCTGCTTTAGAGACTGGTTGCCCTGTAATGGCTTCATTTTTGAATCCACAAGCCCTGGTATTATCAGATCTAGCTATGACAGTGGATGTTAGTGAAACCACTGCAACTTACCTCATAGAACAAGCTCTTCAGAGGCAAACAGTACATTCTAGCCATGATAAACCAAACGAAACATGTTGTGGCATTCAGGGTTATATTCCATTATTACAACAGATGGGATCTATTTGCAGTACTATTATTGATATGCGTAAATCAGGAGACAAACAGGGAACAGTAGATATGGATATGTCAGAAAATATTCCCTCTCATTTATCTAACCTCTCTTCAACACCATATTCTTTATTGATCACATCACTTCCTTTGAGAGATGAGAATTTCAAGACTTACATTAAAGCTTGGTCCAGGGTTCTTAGGAGTATTTCTTTGACTCAAAAATCATTGGCTTCGTGTAATGAGACACTTGATCAAGAGAATTCAAATGTTTTCAGTAGTGCTCAGAAGAACCAAGTTCATCTTTCATACAAAATGTTACTTCACACATTGAGTGAAGAGGCTCCTCATCTTCGTCTTATCTGTGTTAGAGAAAAATCATATGACAAGTTGGGAGCATTTCTTAGATCATTTTATCAGTATTTGCAGCTTTTATCAGCTATGGTTACCCAACATGCAGACAAGAATTGCCAAAATACCAGAGCTAACTATTTTGCTCTCCTTACTCAAAGACCTGTTCACATTCTAGGTTCTCTGATGTTTAAGAAAGGTGTTGACCCAGTCAAATTAGAACCCATAGCAGCTAGAATGAGGTTAAACCTAACTACTATGATTCTTCAATATTGTTGTCCAAAATTTACAATACCCAGAGAAAATTTCTCTGGAAGGATAATGTATGACATTGAAAGGGATAAAGCTGATATGCTTGGATTTAAGGTCTTACAAAAGCAAGTTATATTGAATGGTAGTGCTCCACACTGTGAGGCAGGTGTATATGGTGAAGTTATTGTTCGTGACATCCTGACAACCATTTTAAGTGGCCTTCATGAAGCCATTCAGCCTATTGCATTAGCATCGAACAAACACTACAGAGCAGTGATATTAAATGATACCACAGCTCCAAATGCTCTTTCATCAGTAGATGTTCAAATGGCCCTCAGAGATGCTGCTGATCTGTCTGCTATAGATTTAGAGAAAATGGTGCCTGGTGATGAAGCAGTTGTGTTTTTCATTAACCTGGCCAACTTAATGTTCATACATGCTGGTATACTTAATCATGTATTGTATTCAAGTGGTAAAGTAACCTCCAGATCAAGAGGGTTGTTTTCAAGGCACCAGCTTGAACGTATAATGGCCATGAAGCGACTTGGCTATGTAGTTGGTCAGCTGGGATTTATTTCTCTGTATGATGTCCTTTTTAATATACTTTCACTTCCAAATCCACTCTCCAGCATTTTGATTCAGAATGATGCAAAGCTCAAAATTAGTATTTGTGAGAGTAATTTGATTTGTAATAGGGTACAGCCTTGTAATAGACATGAACTGCGGATTTTAGAGCTCTTGATAAATTTGCCCTCTAAAGTTAGTTTTTGCATCAGCCAGGGAACACCTGTGTCTCCTCGGGTGCAGGTACTATATGCAGATAGAATGGAAGAGCAGATGGATGCAGCAGTATATGAACACTTGCGGTTATTTCTTCTTATGCAAGACACACGAATGCAAAAGGCAAAGTTGGATCTGAGTCAACATTTTAGTGATAATACTGGGTATAAGAAATGTAATATATTAACTTCCAGGACATTTCTGAATTACTTGGCTCTCCATTCAGATAATCTTGGTTGTATTTCTTCACTGCAACACAATGCTCCTGAAGAACTCATAAGCACACTTAAGAAGCTGGAATGTGAATTTTCAAAGAAATTGCCACCTGAAATAAGTGTTCTTGATAGAAATGAGAAAGGTATAGTTCTGGAGTTTATTGAGTCATTTGAGGATGAGAAGTTTACCAGCATGAGGTGTGATAGAGCTGAAGTAGAGAGTTTATCCAGTTCACCAGATGACTCACCTTGGTTATCTGTCAAAGTACCATTAGCTGTTCTGACTCACCTACGAAGACAATGTCCTCTTTTATCATTTATTGTACAGGCATTTCACAGTACTGCAGAGATGCACAGAAGGAATATTCAGGCATGGAGTGACGACACTGCAGATACTTGGTTAAATATATTGTATCCCCCTTCATTGGGAGTCAAGCCACCTGCTGAAGAAACCAAAGTGTTTAGTGCCATTAGGAACTTGTTTTCAGTTGACAGACACAAAGGTCTAGCAAAACTTTATGAGGGTAACAAGGTTACATCAGCACTCACACAGGACACTGAGGTGTCCTCCATCTGGGACCTTGCTGATGATCTACTGGGAAGCGGAGCCATCACTAAAGGTTACTCGTCTCAGCTACTTCAGAACGTAACAGCTTTAGTGACAGTTCTACAAGCTCTTCACTCAAGTACTTTGGAGAAGTATCCTGATGTTAAAATTCTTCTAGATCACCTTTTAGTCTTCTTGGTGAAAGAAACTGAGCCTTCAGGTAAAAACCTTCAAAAGGCTTTAATGTTGGTGAAGGACTCTTGTTCCAAATAACTGGAGGTATCCATCCTTTCCTTCAAGAGGATGGATACCTTCAGTTATTTGGATCACCCTTTCTTGAAAAGGATGGATACAGAAAAAGGTTTAGCACTTCCCCATGAATGTAATATAAATAATGCAGCTAAAATATAAATTATGAAATAAAGTGCCTTTTCCATTATGTGTTGCAGCTTGTATTAAATAAATGTGATATTGTTAACAATTTGACAAATACTGTCTTGAAGTGTATTGCGATCACGTATTGAAGTGCATTATAATAACATACTGAATTGTATAATAATCACATATTGTAGTGTATTAGTTGACAGTGATACTCACTGTGTGATGTTTTCAGGTGATCCTGGTCCATGGACGTATGTTAATCGCATAACAGACAGTGATATGCGATGCAATGTTGTTATGCAGTTTCATAGGTAACTATGCCCTATTGATAAAAGTTTTTGACCAGACATTGATTATCCTTGATGCCGATGAGAGACTTGTCTTTGCATCAAACCTGATTACCCCCATTTCCTAGGTATTGTACAATCTACATGAGTTTACTGACTCCCACATGAATATAATAATCTTCTCTTATAACTACTGTACAAACACACAGATACACTTTTTTAACACAGTGGCTGTCTCCCACCAAGGCAGGGTGACCCGAAAAGGAAAAAATGTAAAGTTTTTCTTCTTTTTACATTTAGTAATTTATACAGTAGAAGGGATTACTAGCCCTTTGCTTCTAGCATTTTAGTTGCCCCTTACAGAGGAAGGATTCTTTTCTACTTTTCCATGGAGGTATACACACGGTGTACAGTGGAACCCTGGATTTCGGCCGTAATCCGTTCCAGAAGTTCGGCCGTAATCCAAAAAGGCCGAAAACCAAAGTAATATTTCCCATAAGAATTAATGTAAATACAATTAATCTGTCCCAGACACCCAAAAATATTAACAAAAAATACATTTTTTAAACATTAACTATAGTTTTACATGCACAAAACAATGAGAACTAAATAAAATGACTGACGAAATGGATAAATGAACATTTAACATCACATTGACCTTTATTGAAGATTCTTGTTGGTGTATGGAAGACAGGGAGGACTGATTATTGTTTGGAAGGGGAATCCCCTTCCATAAGGACTTCAGGTATCAAGTCCCTATCCGGGGTTACTTCCCTTCTTCGTCTTTTACTGGCACTAGGACCAGCTTGAGAGTCACTGCACCCCTGTCACACAAAAAAACTGTCCAGAGAGGTCAGTTTCTGGCATCTCTTTAAGATTTGCCTGGAGTGGGACAAGGTTTTGTCACTGAACATGTTGCAGATATGGCTTGTTTCAGCTTGGTCAGGGTGATATTTCTCCACAAAACTTTGCACCTCCCTCCATTTTGCACAAATGTCCAAAGCAGAAAGAAAGGGGAGTGAACGGAGGCAATAGTAGTAGTACAGTGGACTCCCGGTTTACGATATTATTTCATTCCAGAAGTATGTTCAGGTGCCAGTACTGAACGAATTTGTTCCCATAAGGAATATTGTGAATTAGATTAGTCCATTTCAGACCCCCAAACATACACGTACAAACGCACTTACATAAATACACTTACATAATTGGTCGCATTGGGAGGTGATCGTAAAGCGGGGTCCACTGTAATAGTAGTAGAAAGAAAGGGGGTGAAGGGAGGCAGTAGTAGTAGTAATAATAGTAGAAAGAAAGGGGAGTGAACGAATGCAATAGTAGTAGTAAAGTAAAAGGACACAAGTGCAACTAATGTGACATTTTATTGTGGCAACGTTTCGCTCTCCATGAGCTTTGTCAAGCCGTTACAAACAATACATGGACACAGAGGGTATATATAGGATAGAGTGAGGTGTAATACTAGTGGTAGTAGTAGTGATATAAGTTAGTAGTAGTAGTAGTAGTAATACAATATGGTAGAACAGTTAACTTGCACATGAGTAAAAGGATATAAAAGCTATTACTTGGGTATCATAAAAATAGGTTAGACAAATATTTCTATTGGAGGTTGGATTAGAGAAGGCCTGTTTCAGTGTTCATCCTTTGTGATGTGCTTATATAGTATTAGCAGGAGAGACTATGTGATGGCAGGGTTTACTGTTTTCAGGAGGATTCTTGCTAAGACTTCAGAGATGGCAAAGCTGCCTTTGTTTTGTTTAATTGTATTAGAAACAGCGATTAGTGGTGATTCAAGGCACTTGCGTGTGTGGAAATTCGTTTCTTTGATCACTAATCGGATGTCCCTGAATTTCATGAGATGATTGGTAGAATTCTGGTGTTGTACGCAGGCGTTGTTCAAGTTATCATTCCTACATGCATAAATGTGTTCATTGAGGTGGGTTTCAAGGTTTCTTGCTATTTCACCTACACAAATCCTGTCGCAGCCTCCACAGGGTATAGTGTAAACCCCTGCGTTGACTGGTTCATGGTGCTTGGATTTTGTCCTGGTTAGATCCTTTATTGAAGTGCTGGAAGAGATGGTGATTAGTGTCAGCTTGTGCAAGTACTTTTAGAAATGTTCAAAGCAACCTGGCTGTTGAGAAGAATTATAACTTTATTGGGAGTGGTGTTGATGTGTGGAGAATTAATGATCTGATGAGCTCTTTTCTTGCAATCTTTGATGAAAAAGGAAGGAAAATGTAAATCAGTGAAGGTTTGGTGAATGTATGTACATTCCTAGTCAAGAAACTCAGGACTACAAATTCGGTATGCTCTTAGGAAAAATCTGATGATGATGCCTCTTTTGGTCTTAGTATCTTGACTGGAATAGAAGTGTGTGAGATCATTTTTATTAGTAGGTTTCCGGTAAACTTGAAATCTTAGGTTGTTATTTACTTTGTGAATGAGGATGTCTAGAAAAGGTAGCCTGTCATTGGACTCTTCTTCTAGTGTAAACTGGATCTCTGGTTCAACTGCATTGAGCCTTGCTTGAAAATTCCGTACATCAAAATGTTTGGGAGTTATTACGTGGATACCATCCACGTAACGTAACCAAGTGACGCTTGAGGGGATGATGTTAGCGAAGTGTTCAGCCTCTAGGTGTTCCATGTACTAGTTGGCTAAGATGGCACTGATGGGGGACCCCATTCCCATGCCGTAGGTTTGTTTGCAGAGCCTGTTATTGAAAGAAAAGCTATTGAATTTAATGCAGAGTTAAGTCAGGTCAACAAAATCTCTGAGAGGTTGACTCTACCTTCCAGAGATTTTGTTGACCTGATTGAACTCTGCGTTAATTTCAACTGTTTTTCTTTCAATAACAGACTCTACAAACAAACCTACAGCATGGGAATGGGGTCCCCCATCAGTGCCATCTTAGCCAACTTGTACATGGAACACCTAGAGGCTGAACACTTCACCAACATCATCCCCTGAAGCGTCTCTTGGTTACGTTACGTGGACGACGTCCTCGTGATAACTCCCAAACGTTTTGATGTATGGAATGTTCAGGCAAGGCTCAACGCAGTTGAACCGGTGATCTAGTTTATGCTAGAAGAGTTCAGTGACAAGCTACCTTTTCTAGACATCCTCATTCACAACCTAATATTTCAAGTTTACCGGAAACCTACTAATAAAAATGATCTCACACACTTCTATTCTAGTCAAGATACTAAGACCAAAAGAGGCATCATCATCATCGGATTTTTCCTAAGAGCATACTGAATTTGTCTAACCTATTTTTATGCTACCCAAGTAATAGCTTTTATATCCTTTTACTCATGTGCAAGTTAATTGTTCTATCATATTGTATTACTACTACTACTACTACTACTACAACTTATATCACTATTACTACTACTACTACTACCACTAATATTACACCTCACTCTAGCCTATATATACCCTCTGTGTCCATGTATTGTTTGTAATGGCTTGACAAAGCTCCTGGAGAGTGAAACATTGCCACAATACAATGTCACACTAGTTGCACTTATGTCCTTTTACTTTACATATTGTCAGTAATTCTACCAACATATATACAATAGTAGTAGTAATACAGTAGTAGTAGAAAAGGTAGAAGGTTGAAGCAGTAATAATAGTAATGGAGTGGTAGTTGTAGTGATAGTAGAAATGGGGTAGGAAAAGGAGCACTGTATTCACAAGTCAGTGTGACTTGTGAATGGTTCAAATTGGACCGAAACATCGTCATAAGCTTTTCTCTCTCCTTTGTGCAGGTTATTTGTGTATTGTTCCAGTCACGTATTCTGCCTTTTTGTTCTTTATAGCTAATGTTTTATCATTGAAGTTGAGTAGCTTTACTGTGTTCCAGGAAATGGCCAGTAACTGCAGCTGTTGGTCTTTTAAACTTGGTGGCACATGACACCCAGCTCACAAGCCACCAGCAGGAGCAGGCTAAGCAGCGGGCAGAGCAGATTGAGGTGTATGATAAAGTAAGCTCTTCGTATGTTTATGTATGTGATTATATTATTACCTTTGTGTATAGGCAGACCATGCTGGATTCCTTGCCTACAGTTGTTACCCCACTGAACTCTTGGTGATGAGATGTCTTCATGCTAGCACAGGTTGGTTTATTCTTATTCTAGCATGAGTGTAAACATGCTTTAATAGCATGAGCCTTGAAGAATGAGACACTTGACTCCAATATATAAGGCACTTCTGCATGCATATGCTGTACATTTCTTAAAATTGATGGACTGAACACATTAACTCCAGGCTGAGGGACTGATTACCTCAAATTCCTCCTCCTCCTCATCTTTCTCCATTCTTCTCTGTACTGGACTGAAAAAGCCACTGGCTGGTGAAACGTTTCCACAATAAAAATTCCCAAATGTTGCACAAGTGTCTCAGTCTCCCACATGTTATAATGGAAGACGGTTGCTTTGCACCACAGTGGAAATGAAAGTGTTGTTTCCCTTTGAATTATAAGAGAAAAGGCAGTGTGTAGAGCAGTCACACACAATGCAATGTATAAAGCAGTCACGCAGAAGGCACTGTGTAGAGCAGTCGCACAAAAAGCAGTGTGTAGAGTAGTGACACAGAAGACAGTGTGTAGAGCAGTGACAAAAGTATACATGGCAGAGATCAGGTCAGATATGCTGCCTTCAATACAGATTTATCCACCACAAAACATTTAGCACACATGATCAGTACTGTACCCACCTGAGTGCTCCTTCATTGCATCATTAACATGTTTTATTGTGTTTGGTTACTCTGATGTGATGTTGGTGCTTTCTTGGTCTCCCTTAATATTCTATACCTTAACAATTATTAGTATTGTTCTAACTAGTATTATTGAAATTCTATAGATATATGCGAGATCATTACTAAATGTAAAAAGAAGAAAACTTCATAGTTTTCTTCTTTTTCAGGTTGTTCTGCCTTGGTGGGAGATGGCCGGTATGTTGAAAAAAAAAATACGCTAGATAATATTATTTCAAAACAGTGGTTGCCAGTCCAGCAGCCATCTTCTTTTGACTTTAAAGATGAAGATATTTATTTCCTTAGTATACATTGGTTGTATTGGTCAGTTTTACAATTTATATAGTCACAGGTTGGCTACAGTTAGGTAGATATTTTTATTAGTGGGTTTGGGCTTGAGATGGATCTGCCTAGTATGGGCCAATAGGCTTGCTGCAGTGTTCCTCCTTTCTTACATTTTTAAAACATTGTATGTAGTATAAGTTTTCCCTTGCTTTATGCAGATGTTTTATGTATAATTTTGCTTATGTGTGGTGACCCAGTTTCTACCAGGAATGTGTTATATGTGATAAAAATTTACTCTTATGTGATTGGAGAGGATGGTTGCTGTGTATTTTCACTAACATTTGACCACTCAAGTACACCACCACTTTATATTTAATAAATGTCGAATTCAATGTTACTCTTAACTGATATCGTATTTTGAGGACAGTGGTGAGTGAAGGATACTGTTGTGTTAACATGACTCACGAAATCGTAATGACACGATTGCAAACAAACCATACCCCGGCTGGGATTGAACCCGCAGTCAGAGAGTCTCAAAACTCCAGACCGTTGCGTTAGCCACTAGTGGCTAACGCGACGGTCTGGAGTTTTGGGACTCTCTGACCGCGGGTTCAATCCCGGCCGGGGTATGGACTGTTGTGTTATGTTGTGAGTCTCACTCACTCACTTACTCAACATGTCCAGGATGTGAAAACCCCTGTCCTCTCACACCCTTACTAACACTGAGAGAGTCATTGAATCAGTGAGGGAGAAAGGCAGTGAGCAAAGGAGGCAGTGAGTGAAAGAAGCAGTGTGCAAGGAAGGCTGTGAGTGAAGGATGCAGTAGATGGAGATGGTGAGTGAAGGAGGCAGTGAGTGAAGGAAGCAGTGTACAAGGAAGGCTGTGAGTGAAAGATGCAGTAGATGGAGATGGTGAGTGAAGGAGGCAGTGAGTGAAGGAAGCAGTGTACAAGGAAGGCTGTGAGTGAAGGAAGCAGTGAGAGAAGGAGGCAGTGAGTGAAGGAGGACAGTGAGTAAAGGGGGCAGCAAGCAAGGAAGACAGTGACACAGCCACCAGTCCAGGAAAGGGCCATCCTCCTGGGGTCCCAGTCAGTCTGTCCTCCTCTATCCTTCCTCTGGGTTGGTGCTGGGACCTACCACCATGGTTCACAGGCTACCCACCTATCACCATGCCTCACCAAAAACCCTCCCTTCCTTTCCCAGTGAGCCAGCACCTCATGTTCTAGCACATTGTAAATAATCAGTCTACAATTCTTGGCTTCTTTACCCCCAGAAAAATGTGAGACCTTCAATACATGCATCAAATGATGATTCTCAGAGTATGAATGCATTTGGTAAGAAATTAACTGAGAAAAAAATGTGTGGAATTGGTAAAGTCTGAGAATAAATCCCTATCTATTCCATGTTACTGTATAATGAAATTGTGACTATGTTTCAGTCTGTCCATACTAGATGAGTGTCAATTCACAATTATGACATGACATTGGTCCAGGACAGACCGAATCATCTTAAGTCTCCTCTCTTAAGTGTTTGTAAACTGTGAGGATAACACGTATACCGTACTTACACGCTTGCATAAATACCTTATATTATAAGTGCTCTTTCACCATTTCAGATCCTTATGTTGGGGAACCCATCACATGGGTCCTGGCAGGAAGTAGAGCGTATATGCACCGAGGAGCCAACAGAACTTCTTCAGTACCTAATTCAGAAAAAGCAATTTAAATTAGCTGTTGAATGGGCTAGCTATCATACTGGTGATGCTGATATGCGGCATCTGGTTGATCAAAGCTACCTTATGCATTTGTTGGATAAAACCAACCCAGACTACACTACTGCAGTAGAAGCTCTGAATTCTTTGCATATAAATGATCTTGTTATAGTGGTGCACAATCTTCTACAGAGGCTGTCGAATATCCCCACGCGAAGATTCTTGATTGAGGTCTTTCTGAAGAATCTTTACTCAACAGATGGGGCCTCTTTATACAGTGAAAGCAGTGAAGTTGGAGAGAACAGGAAAGGTGCCAGAGTTACAAGTGATGAGCATACAAATATTAAAGAGGAAAAGTGTAACCGTATTTCTTCCCTTGGTGTGCAACTGGATGCTGTGAGCCTGCAACAGGAAGTAATGGGATTAATTCTGGTTGAGGATGTAGCACCACCTGCAGCAGACAGGTTCCAACTGAGTCATTTAGCTTCATCTCCACATCTGATTATAGAACAGTGGTTGATGAATGTAAGATTAGAAGCTATAGAAAAATCCCTTAAAATATTAACTCACCATCTAGATATGGTAGGTTCACAGATGTTCCTTCCTGATGATTCACAAGATTTTGGAATCTCATTTTCAGGTACCAGTACAGCAGTTGCAGCAAGAGAAGTAAATGGCTTGAGTTGGGATGTTCTAAATTGGCTCTTGGAAGTTTATGCTGCCAAAGCACTGGACACCACTGGTGTACAGTTTGCTATTAAGCCTTCACTGATGGGTGAAAAGTCACCAAAAAAATTTGTGATGCCAGCCCAGCCTCCCAAAAGGCACGAGTGGGTACCAGATGCAGAGGTAAGAAAATGCCCTATATGCGACACAGCTATTTTTTCAATGTTTTGCCGGCGTCACCATTGTCGTCGGTGTGGACGTGTTGTGTGTGGCTCATGTTCTCAACACAAGACTGCTGTTCAAGGATATGATGATTTATTTGTTCGAGTTTGCTCTGAGTGTTATCAGCAAACTAAAGAGCTTAACCTGCAAGATTATATACAAGTTAGACCATTAGCAGATGGAACATTTGACACTTTATCACAAAGTTTAGATGTACATAGTTCTCGTGGAGAAAATTCTTGGACCAGTGACATTGAAGGAGGCTGGTACCTGTCAACAGATACTCACCATAACAATTTAATCCGTCGTGAATTCTGCTATGACTATGCACCGTCACTGAGTCTTTGCCTTGCTATATTGGGACTCCACCAAAATCATAAAAGGGCAGCTGTTTGTATCATCAAGTTATGTCATCATTTATTTTCCCTCATTATATCATCTTTAAAAGTATCAAACTCAGAAACTGATCACAGTTTTTTGCTGTCAATGATTCAAACCCTTTTGACTTCATCCAAAGTACGGTTTGGAAATGTTGGTGAACATCAAGGAATTGAACTATGCGAGTATTACACTCAGTGGGTCGATTTGCTTTCCCTTTTATTAAAAGCAAACTGTGATGACATAATCTCAATTGAAGCTTTAGGAAATATGCTTGTAATTGGAAATTTGTACCAAAAATGTTTATTAGAAGAGAAAGCCATTCAGAGTGATTTAGAAAAACACTTGAAGCAAGAATTTTTCCATATGAGAGGGCTACGCAACACACTCGTCAAGAAGCAGATGTGGGAATTAGCTCTGGATGTCTCAACCAAAGCTGGACTTGAAACTAATGGAGTGTGGAGAGCATGGGCCTTGGCTTCTCTCAAGGCAGGGGATTTTCCTGGAGCTCGGGAACGATTCTCGCGAGTTCTTGAAAGACCAACAGACAAAAATAGGACCTGTGTGTCATCCTTGTTGCCAGAAGTTCTTAAATATCTTGAGAGTAACCCATTCCAAGTAGATCCACAGGTAATGGACCAAGCAGAGCGCACAAGATCAAGCATCATGCTCAGTGATCAGTCCAGGCTTCCTCCATCACAGGCCCTTGTAGTACTTCATAGTCTCAAGAACCTTAACCGAATTGCACAAGGTAATCTGAATTATAGAGATACCCCTAGACAAGTGTTTTTTGGTCAAAGAAATAAAAAAGTGAACCCATCAAGAATTGAATCAGCATTCCAGATCGAGTGTAAATATTACCTTAGTTTGTATGGGAGTCATTCCATGTCCATTCAGTATTTTATGAGACATAGACTAATGCAGGAATGTGTGGAGTATTTGCTTGCTGAAGATGTTAACGTGGAAGTCTTTATTGAAAATGTCTTGATACCTTGCTTAAGATGTGGCTATCTTGATCAGTTGATGCGATGCCTATATGCATCAGATCCCCACATGGAAAAGTGGGCCAAGTTGATGTTTGGAGGCTGCCGCTGGCTGGAGCGACGTGGTTGGTGGAACTGTCTTTTGACTTTACAAGAAGCATTGGGCGACAGACTGAGAGCATCAATGACTCTTCTCAGAATGTATAGTAATGATGTTGGCAGTTACACAGCACTCGCAAGCAGATCTAACTACATAACTTTAGCATTAACACACCTTCAAGCTTATTTGGATAGTCAGACTTTGTATGGTTCCACTGCAAAGAAAAAGAAGCTAATTCTTGACATGTCTCCCTGGTATGTAAATCAGAATATCAATATGCTAACATTGCAAGCTGATGTCACAAAGATCTTGGCAGAAAATGAATCAAAAGGAAACATTAATACAGATCTTTTGGAAAAGCTTTATGAAATGAATGTTTTAAAAAATAGATGCTTGCCAACACTGTTAATAAATAGTGATGAGCGGTTAGCAGTAGCAGTTCTTGTAATATGTGGAGCTGAGATTTTGGCAGATGGTTTAAACCTTGCATATCGGATAGTGGAGAGAAGTGAATTGCCGGTGGAGAAGTTGCTGTCAACATGTTGCCAATTGCTGGTTCAGAAAGATAAGGTCGAACAAGTGAGCCTGGTGGTGAGTGGAATACAAGAGTGGGAAGCCCTGAGACCAGAAGCAGTAGATGCTGCCTTACATCCAGTGCTCCACATAGTTGCAGCCAACAATCAGAACAACTATCTCGATAGTCTTGTCAGACTTCTCTCCAGTGATCAGGCTAAGGTAAGTTGACACAAAGAAATTGGTTTATTCTGCGAGGTTTTTGTACTGTTACTTCCTCACCTTCCTCACATCAGATTTGAGTACTTCTTATTCCTCAGGCACTGCTTGACCCTTATGGGTTTAATACTTGCTATGACTGTAATAGAACTGGAATGGATGAGGACTTCTTTGAGGGGTGTCCCGTAGATCAATTGTTAGCGCACTCAGCTCACACACTGAGGTCTGGAGTTCGAATCTCCAGTACGGAAAACATTAGGGACACGTTTCCATAAGACACATGCTGTCCCTCTTCGTCCATCAGTATAAAATGGGTACCTGGGTGTTAGTCGACTGGTGTGGGTCACATCCTGGGACGAAACTGACCTAATTTTCCCGAAATGCTCTGCATAACAAGCGGCTTTTTATATAGTAGTATGTCATTGATGTCACCTAGGCCTGTATACACATGTACCTTGTACATGTACTTGTAGAAATAAAGATATTATTACACGTACAGTGGACCCCCGCATAACGATTACCTCCGAATGTGACCAATTATGTAAGTGTATTTATGTAAGTGTGTTTGTACGTGTATGTTTGGGGGTCTGAAATGGACTAATCTACTTCACAATATTTCTTATGGAAACAAATTCAGTCAGTACTGGCACCTGAACATACTTCTGGAGTGAAAAAATATCGTTAACCGGGGGTCCACTGTATATGTATTATTATATTAAGTATGAAGTACAGTAGAAGGAAGTAGAGGATGAAAAATCAGAAATGCAGTAAGAGGTGTTAATAATCTGAAAGATTTCAGTCCCTGAAAGAGTATTAAGGTATAAAGGAATACAACTCACTTGTAATTTGTATAGTAATGTATATGCATTATCTGTTCTTTTATTTTTTTATTGAATTTTATTCAAAGCATAATAGCAGTGTTCATGGAAATATAGACCATCACACTACTAGTTCACTTCATTCCTCAATCTAAACTTGGAATATATTTAATTATATTCCTGTGTCGTAATTCTTGTCGAAAACACTGGGCATAACATTAACTTTGTATTTTTTGTTTAAATTATACCTACAATCTTCCAAGACCTATATCTGTAATGTTTTTATTTTTTATTTATTTTTTATTTATTAACAATTTGAGCACACATACAGAGGTACAAAAAAATACAGATAAGAGCAGCATGCCAAAGCCACTTATACTATGCATAGCATTATGGGCTGGCTTAAAATTAACTTAAGATTAACTAAGCAATGATGAAATCAGTGATAAAACATTAATGTAAACAGATTACTATAAAGCACAAGTGAGTATTACAAAGACAGGTCATATGGTTGCATGCATTGTTGTACATTCAGTCATATGGAGTATTCTGTTAGGTAGTGTATTTAAAAAATAATAAAGTTAGATTGGGTTTTAGGTTTAACATTTATGTGATATAATTGTGAGAAACATTTAAGATATACAATTTATAAGGTTCAGTTATTCAGTATTTATTTGGTTTTGGGTGAGTAAGTGATCTTTGAGAAGAGACTTGAATTTATAAACAGGTAGTGTTTCTTTTATATTTACAGGTAATGAATTCCAGATTTTAGGGCCTTTTATGTGCATTGAGTTTTTGCATAGTGCGAGATGGACACGAGGAACATCAAAGAGTGATCTGTGCCTTGTGTTGTGGTCATGTGTTCTGTTGAGGTTGGCAAGGAGATGTTTGAGGGGAGGGTTAATATCAGAGTTAAGTGTTCTATGTATGTAATAGGTGCAGTAATAAGTATGGATGTTTTGTATGGTGAGTAGGTTTAGTGTATTGAATATTGGTGGAGTGTGCTGCCTGTAGTGAGAATTTGTTATCATTCTAACTGCAGCCTTTTGTTGGGTAATTAGTGGTCTGAGATGGTTAACTGTTGTTGAGCCCCATGCACAAATTCCGTAGGTGAGATAGGGGTAAATAAGAGAGTGATATAGGGCCAGGAGGGCTGACTGTGGAGCATAGTACCGTATCTTCGATAGTATGCCTACAGTCTTGGAAATTTTCTTAGAAATTTGTTGTATATGTGTATGAAATTTGAGTCTATTATCAAGGTGGATTCCTAAGAATTTTCCCTGTTAGCTTTGTGATAGGTGATCCATTTATCATTATGTTAAGTGGGACATCTGTAGCTCTGTTACCAAACTGAATGAAGTAGGTTTTGTCAATGTTTAGTGTAAGTTTGTTAGTCCTCATCCAGGTAGATATTTTCTGTAATTCGGTATTTACAGTATTGGCTAGCGTGACTGAATTTATAAATAAAAAAAAATCAATTGGCTCAAACTGTCAGTTAAAATTGGTTTGGTTGGAACTAATTATATTTTACATTGGTTTTAAAACTCATTGAAAGTACAATAGTTATGTTATTTAACTATTTAGGTGTAAGAGTTGAGAGAAAAATGTCTTTAAGTGAATGTGATAGATTACAGTACAATACAATTTTTATTTCTTTGCAAGTTTACATTGAGATTCTGTAGTTACAGTAGTGAGTTGCAGTGCAAAGAAAGCCACTATCATGCCATGGCATTAAAGGCAGACTAAATTAATGCTTACAGACTACTTAATACTAGAGAAATTGATCATAGTTTGTTTAGGTTGTACATCTGTTTTTATTTAAAGCAGACAGTAAGTTAACTCAAGTTACAATCTGGGGATATTACATTAGGACAATTTGAAAGTATTTTGTAGGTTGTGTATATCAATAGTAAATCTTTCTTTCTTTTCTTTCAACACACCGGCCGTATCCCACCGAGGCGGGGTGGCCCAAAAGGAAAAACGAAAGTTTCTCCTTTTACATTTAGTAATATATACAAGAGAAGAGGTTACTAGCCCCTTGCTCCCGGCATTTTAGTTGCCTGACTTAAGAAATCGTAATGACACGATTGCAAACAAACCATACCCCCGGCCAGGATTGAACCCGACGCGACGCGACGGGCTGGAGTTTTGAGACTCTATGACCGCGGGTTCAATCCCGGCCGGGGGTATGATTTTAGTTGCCTCTTATAACACACATGGCTTACGGAGGAAGAATTCTGTTCCACTTCCCCATGGAGATAAGAGGAAATAAACAAGAACAAGAACTAGAAAGAAAATAGAAGAAAACTCAGAGAGGTATGTATATGCTTGTACATGTATGTGTGGTGTGCCCTAAGTGTAAGTAGAAGTAGCAAGATGTACCTGAAATCTTGCATGTTCATGAGACAGAAAAAAAGACACCAGCAGTCCTACCATCATGTAAAACAATTACAGGCTTCTGTTTTACACTCACTTGGCAGGACAGTAGTACCTCCCTGGGCGGTTGCTGTCTACCAACCTACTTCCTAGATCAATAGTAAATATTTAAGTTATATTATTGGAATATAATTATATGATTTGCTTTATAGTTACAAGAGCAGAGCTATGCTGGTGATGCTCCATCTTCAGTGTTCAATTTGTTGTATGTAAAACTTGTGGAAGTACATAGGCATGAATTTGGAGATAGGGGAACTCTCTATATAGCAGCAATCTTGCCCAGTTTGAAGCCTCTTCTAGGAAAATTCAAGTGCTTGAACTGACCCATTAAGCAGTTACAGTGGTCCCTCGCTTTTCGTAGTTCCCGGCAATCGTAAATTTCGCCAATCATAGGGGTATTTTCGTATAAACATTGACTCGCTTTTCATAAGTTGACTCGCGAGTCGTAATTCGTCCAGGACGCGTACCCACGGCGTGAGCCATGGCGGCAGCCAGTTTGGCATTGTTTACCAGTGAGCGAAGGTCCCCTCACGTGCTCCAGCAAAATATTTCATAATATTCCATTTATTTTAGTGCTTGCAAGTACTAAATAAGCTACCATGGCTCCAAAGAAAGCTCCTAGTGCCAAGCCTGTGGTAAAGAAGGTGAGAAATACGATTGAATTTAAGAAAACCATCATTGAACAATATGAAAGTGGTACAAGTGTGGCCTGAACTGTCCAGGATGTATAAGAAACCCTATACAACCTTATGTTCCATAGTGGCCAAGAAGAAGGAAATCAAGGACACTGTTGTTGCAAAGGGAGTAACTATGCTGACAAAAATGAGATCACCAGTACTCGAAGAGGTTGAGAAGTTATTATTGGTGTGGATAAATGAAAAACAATTAGCAGGGGATACTCTTATGACTTCGATTATTTGTGAAAGGCTAGGCATTTCATGAAGATTTGGAAAAGAAATTGCCGCAATAGTGTGATGTGAGTAAATTTTAAGGCCGCAAAGGCTGGTTTGAAAATTTTAAAAACCCGTACGGCAACACAGTGTAAAAGGCATGGTGAGGCGCCTTTTTGGGAAACCCCAAAAAGGGGGCTAAAAAAATATGTGCATGAATTCCAGGGTAAAAGAGGCTAAAGGGATAAAAAACCTGAAAAGTTTTCAATTTGACGAAACAGGCCCTTTTGGAAAAAAGCCAAAGGGGACCTTCAACACAAAAAAAAAAGGCCTGCCGGGACACAAGCCTATGAAAAAGGCTGACTCTAATGTTCTGTGCAAATGCTAGTGGGGATTTAAAATGAACCATTATAGTGTCCCATTCTGAAAATCCCAGAGTGTTCGGGAAAAAAACAATGTTAAAAGAGTAAATTGGTTTTTGGGAAATCAATAGAAAGGCATGGGTCAGGGGAAATTTTATGAGTGGTTCAATAAGTTTTTGGCCCCCAGTGTAAAAGAGTATCTCCTGGAAAAGAAATTGGATCTAAAAGTGCCTGCAGTAAGGGACAGTGATGTCTTCTCCAAATTTGGGACCTTTTTTTCGGGGGTTTTGGGGTTTCATCACAGAAAAGCTCTTCCCCCGAATCCCATCCCTCCTCCAGCCCGGCCAGCGGGTCATTGCAAACTTTAAAAAACTCTACACAAAAGCAATGTTTACGGTGCGACTGTGACACAGAAATCCTGCCCCAAGGAATTTGGGGAGAAACTTCGCATCCTCCATTGCTAACCCTTTTAGGGATGGCTTGGGAGGGAGTGACTACCAGGACTTTTTTACTCTGTGGAGAAATTGTGGCCAGATTGTGTCGACAAGAGGGAGTTTGAAGGGTTTGGGGCTGCCCTGTGACCTTTTGTTGTAAAACAATTGTGGCACTGGGGAAATTCCATGGGGTTGGAGGGGTTTGGGGATGTGGGAAAAAATTGGTGGAAGACCACAATGAAGAGCTATCATAGGAGTGCAAAAAGCTTAGCAGGAAGAGCAACACATCGCAGCTCAGAAAGTTGCTGCAGAGGAGGGGAAGAGGGGAAGAAAGGGGCCTTCTTCAAAATTTGAGATTTTTTCTATGTGGGGGAAGGGAAAGTTTATGGAGAAAAAAATCACCCTAACAAAGGTTTTTTGCAAGCCCTGTTGACAACAGTACAGTGACAAAGTCTTGGCATTTTAAGGGGAAATGTTAAAAAGGGGCGCCAGAAACAGAGCTCTCTGGAGACCTGGAGAGAGTTTCGGGGGTCAACGCCCCCGCGGCCCAGTCATGACCAGGCCTCCTGGTGGATCAGCGCCTGATCAACCAGGCTGTTGCTGCTGGCTGCACGCAAACCAACGTACGAGCCACAGCCCGGCTGATCAGGAACTGATTTAGGTGCTTGTCCAGTGCCAGCTTGAGACTGCCAGGGGTCTGTTGAAAATCCCCCTTATGTGTGCTGGGAGGCAGTTGAACAGTCTCGGGCCCCTGCCCACTTATTGTATGGTCTTTAACGTGCTAGTGACACC